CTAAATTTTCCATGTTACAATACTATTCTAAAAAAAAGTGGTTGTTTTTTTTTTTTTTTTTTTTTTTTTAAAGACCAGACTAATGTAACTGTAGATGCAATGAGATGTAACTTGAGCAAAGCTGGGTAATTTTGCAGCTCATGTCCTGCATATCAGAAAGCACAAACGTTTTTGCATGCTTTCAAATTTTTCTGTTTTTACCCTCAAAAATATAGAAGCAGTGCAATCTGAACAAAGTTGCTCATCCCTTTCATCCATTGATTTATGCAGACCTTCTGGTTTTGTCTGACTTGAAATATTAAAATGATACAAGCAGACTTTATCCTAAAACTCAACTGAAGCAAATATTCTCTTGGAATTGTTTACCCCTTAAACACATCCAATATCCTTGATTCCAACTTTCCTTTTATCTCAGCAGGGGGAGCTGCTTGAGTGAGTTTACACTTCAATTTAATTGTTTCCCAACTAGGTAAACACTTGGCAGCAAACAATGTGTTTCATGCATTGCCAGGATTGGTACAACATCCTTCAAATGTTGTCAGAAGTTCCACTGCTTACTACAACGCGGGACTGAAATTCACAACGGAACAAGCAATATATCCCTCTCAAATATTTCCTGCCCTCCTTTATTCTTACCTTACCTACAATGTAATCTCTTCAGAGTAGCATCTGTCTTTATTTCCAGTTCTGCATGATAACAGGTTAACTTCCAAAGCTTAATTATTAACAAACTCTGTTAAAGTGAAACTTCAGCAGAACGCACACAGGACTAGAAAGGTTGGATTTTCTCTAAGGAGACCTACATGAAACTTTGAACATACCATCCTACAAGCTATTTACAAAGCCCTATTTTAAGCAAGTATTCACAAAAAACAAACACCATTTGAGTACATCTACACACCTGCATATAGAACAGCTGAGAGTTTGAAACATTTAACAGAAGCCCTCTATCTTCAGGGAACTATAGTAAGTTCACGGCTTTTAGCCATTTCTACTATTATTTTTCTTTAGGTACATAACCAGTCTTTTATGAGGAACACTAGAAAAGCAGCACCATCTAGAGGTACTAAAACCACACTGTAGGATTTTCAGAGCTGTGATAAAAATGGCATGGACAATAAGTGAAACTCCCAGATTAAACTCTTTTTAAAATACTGGTATGACAATAGCGGGTTTTTTCTTTGTTTTGTTTGTTTTTCAATTCAGAATGAACATGAACATGGGAAATAATCGGGCATCTGCAAGCTTATATATAGCAGATATATTTATCTTTTATAGGTATATGATAGCTTTTTAAAAAAAAACAACATTATGAACTTGTGAAAACATAACATGAGAAGGAAAAACTGCATTATAAAAAAAACACGGGGTCTTTGTATTGGTGTAAATAGCACTCACACTACAGTGCTCTCTCACCTCATTACATTTTATATTTATTTATTTATTTATTTATTATTATTTATTCCATTATTACTTTCACCCTCATCCTACGAGCAAACAGCCCATAACTCACCACTGTTCTCTAACTTCAATCTCACACACGCTCCCACAGATCGCCTGCCTGGCACAGCCCCAAAGCCTTCACTTTGCATGGCTCTCCTACTTCCCTTACCCAATCCTGCGCTCAGCAGAACAGCTCACCCACCTACCTCCCAACATCCCCCCATTGCCTACTTCTCTCAAGCTCAGAGCTGCCAGCCATGCTACTCTCCATCTTCACAGCCACATCAACACTGGGTACTTAAGGAGCTTGTAAGTTTCATTCACCACTGGCATAAAATTTTGCTGCAGTATGACTACTTCACCATTGCTTTTAGACTCCTTTCATGCCTGTGTACCCACAATAGAGTTTTTTTTTTTAAAAAAAAAAAAAAAAAAGACTGACTGAATACAGCAATTCTAATTTTAAACGTATGGATTATCATTTAAAAAAGTAGTAATTCTGTTAAAAAAATGAAAGAGGAATTTATTACAGAGACTGCAAAGGAATCAATGTTTCTTAACTTAGCCAGTTGCAGTGTTTTCATTCATTCAGTTTGCTACCTGGAGATACCTGCTTTGGGCAGTGCTTCCCTTTACTTTAAGGGATCAACACTTGCAGGTATTTGAAAAAGAATGTTTCATCTCCTCTTTCAATTTTCACTCTGAATTGCCCAAAGGAATTTTTAAAAAAAAATTTTTTTTAAAGATCTATTTAATTGCTAGCAGATATCCATGGCTCCCTTATCTCCTACCAAATCCAATTGGAAAGTGTGTAATCAAGTTAGAACAGATTCATGCCCAAAGAAACAAGTACTAATAAGCCTGTAGTCACATAGCCTTCAGATGTGCCAGGGTTGGATCTGCAAGCTTATGTTCTGGTCTGTTTAAACCACAGGAGGGCAGAGTGAAACGCATGATAAATATAACCCTTTCTCCACACACAGAAACTTTCTTTATTAACCTGAGAACCCTGGTAGCCACATTACCTATTCAACTCAAACTCCACAATTCTTGAACAAACAATCAAACTGTACACAGCATGCCAGATGCAGTCTCACATACTTTTTTTTCCTAATCTCTACCAGTCATGTTCTCTGATACCTTCTAGGCCACATTTTCCATCATTTCAACATACTTACAATTCATAACCATGTCTACACACTTCATTTCAACTGAGGACCTCCTCAGATAAATCTTTTTCCCTAAGAACACATTTTTCTATTGAATTCCATCCCATCTTTATTATTAGTATGTCCTATGCTGTTTTTCCCTACTATTTTTTCCTCCAATGTTTATATCATTTACACTCTCCTTTGTATTAAGCATTAATCATTAATCAAAATATGACATTATGAGCAGTCCACATTACTTATGCAACTTTGCCAGCACCTTTCCTCCAATATGGCAGTACTTCTTATATAACACTCCTTCAACTGGGTCACTATACACCTTTAATTCTCATATTAATCCCCCTCTTTTCTAGCTGAAAAAGCAATTCCCCATGCAATAATGAACCTTCCAGTTCTGTCTAGAAAGTTAAAAACTTCAGGCTACTAAAGAAAAACACAATTATAATGAGCAATAAAATAAGAACCAGAACTTACATATTCTGTATAAATACTTTATTAAGTAAAAAAAAAAAAAAAAAAAAAGACAACTTACATGAATAGATGCTCTGTAAACACGAATTACAGGTTTTCATGAGAATACTGAAATCCTTTAAAGAGCACTTTAGAATGCTTCTTTCCTCTTTTACAGTGATGCATTAGTTAGGAACTGGTATCAAGCAGAAAATACTGCTACCTAGCAATGGTTGGTGCTTCAAAAATGCTATGATAATGCAAAAAAAAAAAAAGAAAGACCCTATAAGGAATCAATATCTGGATTTAGGGTTTGGGGCTTTGGTCCTCAGGTCAACATAAAATGGCAGTTATGAAGACAAATATTCAACTCATTAACTGCACAAACCTTTGCAAAAAACATCCCCTTTAGATGCCAGTTGGCTCTGGCAAATACTCTCCATTTTACTTCATATTAGAAATAAAAATGGAACAGAAAATAAATGGAAATAATGTGAATTCCTGGAGGGAAAAAAAATCGTCATCAGAATGCCAGCTCATTCAAGAAAAGAACAACTTCCAGAGATTACCTGCTTATGCTGTAGTGCACACCTACATGCATGTGCTCAATGCAGTGCTGACATTTTGAAGTCATGTAAACATTTCATCTTCCTGCAGACCAAATCAATTCTGTTGACTATTATTATTTTAAAGGAATATTTTTCTTCTGTCAAGACCTTGAGAACATACTACAAAAACTAACCAAAGCACAACAGAAAAATATGACTGTAATGGTTAGCTACATAAAATCTCATGTATACCATTTTAACTGAAGCATATTATTTCATTCATAACTTACCTTTGCCATTTTACAGTCAGATGTGAATAGAAAAATGTCATTTTAAATACCGAGTGGCACAACTTTTATCTTGGCACATCTGAATATCTATGATTATCAGTATGTAAACTGCCTCACAAGCAACAGTCAAAGCCTGACATGTAAACAGTTAGCTATACATTATCATATAGATAATATCATGTTAGGATAGGCAGGTTTGAGTGTTGCTGAAGGCACAACATGATCCCAAGGTATAAGGTTTCTCTCAGAAAGAGAACGTAAGGTTAGCGTACAGAGACATGAAAATTCATCTGAAGACTGAAATCTCATCTCTGTTAGCTGTTACAGAAAAAAATAAAGCAAAAACAAAAATATTTCTGTTGTCCACACTTCATATTGGACACCAGGAAAAAAAAAATTAAAAGCCTTCAAATACCTCAGTAGTCACATTCCCATCCTATGGCACGCGCGTACCTGTCTATGAGCTCAGCACACTACAATGGGAAGTTCCCAGTTCTTACTGTTGAAGAACTGTGAAGATATTTAATAGTATTTCCATTAAATGATAAAAATGTAACAACTTTTTCATTTTTCTTATTTACAGATGATTTTGGCATAATAATAGTTAGGAACAGTGAAAGTGGCTTGTGCTAATCCACTCAGCTTTTCTTCGGTGACAAGACAATGTCTACGTTCACAACTCTACAGTGGATTGTTTAAACTTCATGGTTTTGTTGTTGTTGCTTTTTTTTAAGGAAATCTTATGGTAATATTTTATGGATGCTGTATTTGAGATAAACTGTAAATTGTTTCTGAATTTTGAGACTAACATTGATGCGAATCGTATGTTTTTCAGTCCTTACATTTCATACTATTGTGTTAATATTTTAAATACATGTAATGTAAATGTTTTTTACAGACAAGAGAAAATCACCTCATTTTTAACGTTACGCAGAAATTGTTGAAGAATACACTTGGAGGACAAAAAACAAAGACACAAACTCCTAAATGCAGCTAATACCAGATAACAATTATTTTGCTCTCTAATAACTCACAAGAATAACTGACTTTTACTATAAAATAGTGTAATAAAATCACCGAATGACAAAAGCATGTCTGAGTTTTACTTTTTTTTTTTTTTCTCCAATGCACGTGCTGCTACAATTTGAAATACAAGTAGGAGAATGCCAGTGCAAGAAGGAACTGTTTAGCATGTATTTTCAAACGTGTAATTTTCAATTACAAGAGAGGTAACTTTTGTTATGTGCTGCTAGGTATAAGGCAGAACATAATACTTGGTCATATTGTAAAGAAACTACAAACCAGAAAGCATGTTACGATCAAATGTCCATTAGATGCAAGCCTGTTCCCCTGAAAGTCACACAAGTATTTCCAAAATATCTCAGTCTCACTTTCTGTCAGAAAATCTCACATTGATGGAGCCTCCAGGAGTCAGAAGTCCGTGGGTTTTGGCCTGAACTGGTTCAGTTTTGGGAGAAATTTTAATCTCAAAATTCTGAAGCAACTGTAAAGACAAATAAGGCAAATATTAGAAAACCTGCAAAATCACAGATGAAGAATAGATGAAAACTTGGGAAAAGAAAACGTAAGAGACTGTCACAAGCAGTATCTCAGCTGTCAGTTTCATCTTCCTCTCCTACACAGCCTGAGTACTGTGATCCTTACGCAAGAGAAACAAATGGTGCAAAGATAATAGCTTAAAATCTTCATCCTCTGATTAAAGAAGACTCTCTCAAAAAATATTAAAATGAAATCAACAAAAGAAACCAAAACTGAGATCAGCTCTTTCTGGAGAATTTCAACAAGATAAGGTTAAACCATCCGAGCTTTCAAAGAAACTGAAGTATCTTTCAAATCTTGTGAGCCTTCCTCTCGTGAATTTTTTATTTTACCATAAATCAGTATATGCAACTATAAAACAAATGAACAAAAACTAAAACCTGAGTCAGGGACAATCTGGTGCACCATAATCATAATAATAATAATCAAGAAGTAGGATACAAAAATCTCTCCTGAGTAGAACCAGTACAATTCAACTACACAGGCTCTCTGTGCATTACAACTTTTGTTCCCATACACTTAATGAAAGTGAGAGAAGCAAAAGCTCATCTCTTTTTTTTTGAAACAAAAATCACAGAAATAGTGGGCTAAAACAAGCTTCAAGACATTTAGCCCACCTTAGTTTTGAAGTTGAATATGAAATATATCTACCAGAAGTATTGCAACTTTTACAACGGAAATACTGTAGCCTTCTCAGCTTCTTCTCCTAGAAATCAAGCTATCTTCTCTCAGCCCTCTCACAATAAGAACATGAAACAATGCATTACTTTCATATATATAAAGTACATTTTAACTGTAGATGACAAGTTCAATTTTCTTGTTTTTCAGGCCTTTCATTCTTACTATCCTTCCCTTCTTCCAATTTGACTGTACTGTCTTTAAAATGCAATGCAGAGTCATCTTTTTAACTCATATTTTACACTGTTAATGAAAATACCAGCCTAAACTAAATGCAAGACAGTCTCTTACAGAATTTGAATACAGCATTTTCTCAGTTTAACAGCTTTTTTTTTTTTTTTTTGACAACTACTGCCTCCAGCTATTTTTTTTTTTTCAACCAGCTCTGCATGTATTTTATAGGTACGTCCATCTGGGGAAAAAAAATTATTAATTTACTTGCAAGAACAATACATAGGACATTAAGAAATATTTTCTGATGTTAGAAAATATGACTTCCTCTAAATCCACGGCACTAGATAAATAACCAAATCAAGAAAAGAATTGAGAACTATCTAAGAAATTCTCATTTGTCACTTTCATGCTTCATGTGTTTCTATTTTTGAACAACTTCAGTATTTCTGTGCTTGTAAATAGATCACGTGGCATTTTGTTCTGCTCTCTTTCCAGAAAACAAAACAAAGATCTTTACAACTTCCTTGATCCTCTTGCTCAAAAAGCTGCAACTGTGTTTTTCTTTATTCAGTCCCGAGACTTATTTCACTCTGAGTTCCAAAAGATAGATGCTATTTTTTATTGAGCTTGCTCTAGATATTTACCTGAGGAAATTTTAAAGGCAAATGTAATCAAGTTGTGCTTTGAATAGATATCACGTCTAACTAGCATTATGGCTAAGTAACTCCAGATAGCTTCTAAATCCTCGTGTTATGATGCACAATTTGTCTCAATATTTGAGTTAAAGGGAGCCTTGTAAATGACAAGAGAAGTGCAGCAGCTGTTAGAAAAGCTACAAATATTCAAATGTACTTTGCATTATGTTAACCTGTATATAAAATGATGGTACAGTTAGAAGAAGGAAGGAGAAAGGACAGAAAACATGGAATACAGAGAACTCAGTAATTTGATTTCACATTGATAACACAATGTTCAGAAAAAGGATATAAAAAACATTTTCAGCTCTTAAGTATTGAGTGTATTGCAAAGTACTGCAGCTGAGCAGGTAACTATCCTAATATACATTAGGGAAATTTTTCATTTTGCTTAAAATAAGAAAACCTTCTGTGCTAAACTCATACATTTCCTGAATAATCTTACATTTATTTTCACTTCAGTTCACTATAAAGAATTTTTCATCTGCAGTGCAGTTTAACTAGTATGCTACACTCCAAGCATTATCATTTGCAATCTCTTTTGAAGGATGAGTGTTTGACAACACTCCAACACAATACTTTTGTGCACAATAACATATTGAGAAATGGTACATAGAAAAAAAAAAAAAAAGAACCATAGCAATATTTTTCTTCCTGTAATGCGGTCCCACATTTCTGACCTGAATCAGTGCAAGATGAATTTCCAGTTCCGCAACTCTTTTTCCAATACAACTTCGAATGCCATAACCAAAGGGGATGGAACCAAAATTGTCAACCCTGTCCAAATTATCTTTCCGCAGCCAGCGCTCGGGCCGGAACTCATTGGCCATTGGAAAATTCTCTTCACTGTATGAAGTAGTATAATGACAGAGTGCCAGCTGCGTCTAAAGAAGGACATGTTATTTGTATTTAACCAACTCCAATGTGCATTAAAAAAGAAAACGTTTGTAAGTAAGTAAATTCAGATCTTTCAACAACGGAAATACACGGGCGAAGTACTAGAAAACTAACAAAAATAATGAAACGCTTCTTCTTTTAAATTAAATCCTAACATTTCAGAGAGGCATTATCAACCTCTACCTGCAGACTATCAAGAAAAGTTAAAAGTTAAACAATAAGTGGGTGAGGAACCAAGTCTGAAAAAAATAATGGCAACAGGTCAACTATAAAGTCATCTTTTTGTCAGATACACAAGCATTATACTAGTATTTTATCCTTAATGCTCTAGGTTGGTTATTTTAAATTAATGAAGTGCAAGTAACTGTAATAGATCACATCTCATATACAGAAATTAAACTGAGAATCACAGAACGGCCTGGGTTGGTAAGGGCCTCAAAGATCACCAAGTTTCAACCCGTCTGCTATGTGTGCAGGGTCACAAACCTCTAGATGCTACATCCTCCAGAGCTACATCCAGGGATGGGGCATCCACAACCTCTCTGGGCAACCCGTTCCAGTGCACCACTGGAGTTCTTTCCAGAAAACTGCAACAGAACCTACAGAACAATACCTACCCCTTTAGGTATTAAGTATCCTCCAACAATCAAGTCTTTCTGGGTCACTCTTCCATTTCCTGGCAATACAGGATATAACCTAGAGACAAATATTTAAAAGTCTTTCAAGAGCAGTAATTAATACAACTTCAAGCATTCGGTTTCCAATATACAATTCAGAGGACAAAGAGTTTTTTGGTTTTTTTTTAAACGTACTGATAACCTTGGAGATAAAAAGACCCTGAAGCATTTGTGAGAACATCATTAATACCAAAGAGAAGTTATTTACAAGTAACTAGAAGTTGAGCTGTTTGCCCTATATGATTGTTACACATATGTGCAAATACACAAGCAGTTGTTCAAGCTGCAGGTATTTTTTTTACAATACAGATTGCTGGAAAATGCTCGTTGATGCATTGTGCAAAATCCTCTTACTTCTCTCACCTCGCTATGAGCATTTGGTATAAATGTTAAAAAAAAAAAAAAAAAAAACAGTTGTGTCACATGCCTTCAATTTAAGGCAAGAAGCTTAAATTGGCTGTAGTGGCACTGCAAAGTACCACTTCGTAGTACAGGGGGTTGAGGGGAGTAGGTTGCTACAGTCCTACATAAAGAATAATGAAATGCAAATCTCAAGTTTTCAATTATCTTAACAGACGTCCTAAATATTCAATACTACTTTTACTAAACTGGAAAGGTATTTAACAACTATGCAAACTATCTTATCTCATTGCCTGGGTATCCTTGGACACAATACTGCCACCGTAAGTAAAAGCAGAAGGAGAAAACAGCAGTAAATACTAACATAAATATTAACACAGACTCAAAATTCCTTACAGCCACATGAAATTACTTTTCTTAACCCTTACCTCAGAGTCTCCTTCAGCACAGCTCTAATCAAAGGCAATTTGGGAACATCACAAGCAACAGGAGCTTGGTCTTTCCCCAGCTTATCGATGATTTCCTCATAAACACGTTGTTGAACCTCAGGGTGCTTTGCCAACATATATATTGCCCAGGACAAAGTAAAAGAAGTCTAAGAAAGAAATCACTACCATCAAATCCAACAGGAGTAGATTAAAGCTTCAAGTCAAGAAAAGCAATGAATTTTCAGCTGTGTGGGGTTTTTTTTGTGTGTGTGCGCGTGTGTTTGCAGTTATAAAACAGACTGGCAATGACTAACATCTGGATTCCATGGGATGTTGTCAGGCTTCACCACCCCCACCATCAGTCTTTTTGCACCTAAAAATCCTCTGCATATCAAAACAATCCATGCTGATATTTTCCTAGTAAAGTATTAAATATCAACAGAAAAAAACAAACGCAAACAAAACTACATAAACAATATTGAAACATCAGCACACTCTAAACAGCAACAGATCAAATTAACTGCTTTCAGTGTTCCACCTTTCCACCTAACTAAAAATTTAATGGGAACCAGGCTAAGAGAATACTGCTCAAAACACTACCAACCAATTCTAAGCACAGAATAGTCTGTTCACACCATCCAGACAACACAACTGCTATTACCACAATAAACAATGCCATACCACAAGAAGTGTCTTCTACATCTTGAAAATTCCCACCTGAAGTTCTGGAAATGTTTTATTTTGGGCTTGCATTTAAGAGAAATTCAGAACGCACGTTCATCATAAAGGGAACCTTTAATGTCCGAAGTTTGAACTGGGATATAACACTAAAAGAAATTCTCAGAAACTTTCTTCTCCTTGTAATACTGAGCGACTTGATCACCCCTTGCTAAAATACAACCCTATCCTATTCTTGTAAGAGCTCAGAGCAGCTGGCAATTCTGCCAACTGCATGCAAAACTTCCTGGGATGTAAAAAGTCTCTTCCCAGGTTCCCAGCTTCTTCATAACCAGTTAAAAATTCTAGGGACAGCCAAAATGCCCTGCAGCCAAAAGCTGCCTTACGATTTTGTTGAAAGCTTTTATAATCCTCTAACCTTCCAGTTTCTGTGACAAAAAGAGCACTGAAATGACAGCAGAACATTGGAAAAAAAAGTTCCCTTCATTTCTGCCTTGTACTAAGAAATGAGGAAATCACAAGCGTTGTCCTCTCACAGAATGATTGCTGCCAGCTGAGAAAACTGGGTTCAACAGGAACAGAAACTCTCACTGGCATGTATTTGAATGCTGTCCTTTTAATGTAATGAGAACTTCCTTACACACTAGAAATGGAAAATTAAGAATCTGAAAGACCAGAAAATGAATAAGTAACTGCGTTTTACTTAAGAGCCAGACATCAAAAAGCTCTTTAAACTCATAAATCCTTGGGATATCTAACCAACAGATCAGTCTTCAACATATAAATAAGCATTGCATATGCTCTTTATTTTGGAACTCAAACGTATTACTATTGGGTTGGTTTTTTTGTTTTGTTTTGTTTTCCTTAGAAACCTCATAAACTTTCTTAAACCAAAAAAAATCTGCATCCAATTATAAAGCTTTTTCTTTAAAGAAAGCTTTGAAAGTTACATTTCTACTTAATCTTTTTTACCTTAAGGCTATTAAACACAATCCAATATAGTACCTTATTAAATTCTTTTTTTTTTAATGTGTTTAAGTATTTTACAGTAACATTGTTCATTGATATTCCATAAAACACCACATGCATTGCATATACAATACAATAAGCTTTTACCTTTATATTCTCACTGTCCTGCTGAAGCTAATACATTGATTCCCCATAACAGGGCAGAGAGAAAGGGAATACACATACTTGACCTTAAAGTTTCTTCAAATACTCAAGAGGACAAATGCACCACTCAGTCTAGCTTGGCACACCCAAATGTTTTTTTATTAATGTAACATACCTTGTACTCCAGCCTCAGTAACACTGAGTCCCATCTGCAGAGCTCTTTGTCTCAGTCTGATTGAAACTTACCAGTACAAAAATAGAGAAAAAGTGAATTCACACCTTCCTACATCTGTGCTGACCTTATGGATTTCAGCAGAAACGAGGTGTTTGATCCAAAATGAGTGTACCAGTTGGCTGCAACCCATACATGAAAAATCTTTTACCAAATCCTACATGTGAGTTTACTGATCAATTATTCACACTAACTTGTGTCAGTCTTTGTACTGTGGTCTACCTAAAAAAGCACAGACACCAATCTGAGCTCCAAAGCACAAAAAGCGTATAAAATTCGAAGTGAATGTGAAGACAAGTGCCATTTAACAAACTGTGGAACTGGTGGGATCCTGTAAACTGCAGCTAGAAAAGAACTTCATTGACTTTGTTACTCTTCTGTCATGTGAAAGATATAATGATATAAACGTACCAGAAATAATGCCCTTAAAAACAGTGTACCTTCCCACCCCACCCTCATACTCCTAAAGGAAGATGTGAAAGGTACAGCGTGCACAAGAAAAGTGATAGCAAGCTTACTGTGTCCACTCCTGCCAGAAGCATTTCAGTCATATTGGCATAGATCTCCTCCAAAGTAAGCTCCTTACTCACAAGGAGGTACGTAAGTAGCCCACCATTCACTTCTTCTCCTTGATCCAGTTGAGACTGAATAGACTTCAGTTTGTTGTCAACATGAATTTGACCTTTGGGATTCAAAAAAAATTGTTAAGCTTCTGTTTTTATTTCTCTTTTGTTTCAGTTCAGTAAAGACAGTTCTTTCTTCTGCTATATAGCCCCAAACAGATAAAACGTTTTTATCTATTTTCTAGGTACAAAGATAAAAGAGCAGTTAGTGGTGCAGGTCTCCTTGGGGACTCACAGTGAGGAAAGCCTGAACTGGCAGAAACAACCTAGCTCACAGCATGAGAACACTTAGCACAGGGAAAGGACACAAGATGCAGATTCTGACTGGGGGCAGAGGAAGCTCAAGGTTGAGTTCTATGCCCACTGAAGTGGCTTGTTTTCTGATGACTGCAAGAAGTGGCAAACTGTGCAGAATGATGCTGCAGCTCAACATACAGCAGCTGTTTCACAATGCTAGCAGCAACTTGGAGGTCAAAACTACAGAACTGAATCACAACGAAGACAAAGATGAGGGGCATCAAGCGATAACAAAAACTGAAAAAATTCAGTGAATGGTAACTCCTGAATTATTTTACCCATATTCCCATACATACTTGGCTACAAACAGCATCTTCAGTGAAACAAGTGCTTCAAAGGAGAAAACTCCTCTGGAAGTTAATGTCTCACAGCATGAGCTTACAAAAGGACATGAACCAACTTACTCCCTTACAAAACCACACAAATGCACACATCACAGTGAGTTTTACTGTTCAATTCCTCTTTCACAAAGAACTTAAAGGAAGAAGCTGCATAACAAATTTTGCACGGAACAAATTCCTCAAGAGCAGATTCATCTCTGCTCTCGGGATAAAGCTAAAATCTGATGTTGGTTTTAACCAACAAAAGGAACAACTCTTTTACAGAAAACGCACCTATGCATTAAAAAGATCCCCTGATGCTTACTGTAGTACTGCTCAGTACATGCAGGCAGATCAAAAATGAAGAAACCCAAGAATCTGCTCTCAAGGTAATCTACACAGACATACCAAGGCAAATACTGTTAAAAAAAACAAATACAAAGATGCATGCAGCTTCCTAACATTAGAGACAGAAAGAGGGCTCAGGTGTTTTAAATGCTGCAGAATAAGACAGTATGCTACAGGGATAACTCCTCTTTTCTTAATTCAGATGACTGCAATTTTATGAACCAAGCTGCAAAGAATGTTTTATTTACAAAAAACATACTGCAGTACAGCAGTATATTTCTATGCCAGCTTCTGTGCTTATATACATGTATATACACACACTTCACAATGAATTCACTTTTTTTTTTTTTTTTTAATTTCTAGTCAGTTTTAGTGGCCATCATTCAGAGTGCCTGAATGAAATCTTGCTGAAGTCAACAAAAGTAATTATCTTCATCAAAATTTGAATGGCTTGAGGTAAAACATTTGCAGAGAACTCAGAGCTTGAATGAAGACAGAGTACTGAAACAGATGAAGACAAATAAAAGAAAAAAACATGGTAACATAGGGGTATATTTAAAGCACACTAGAAACATTAATTCTTTTTAAATAATACATTTTCTCAAAAAATTGTTCAATACAAAGCTTGCTTTTACATTCTATACAGTTCCAACTAATATCAGGAATTTCTTGATATACAGCCTAAACATTTTGTTCAATTTCTCCATAAGTATTACTCTAACAATTATTTAGTATTTCAGATGGAGTTTTGTTGTATTATCACAGCATTTCTTCTGCCTCCTTTAAACTGCAGAAGAGAAATTTATTAAGTCCTGTTCAAACACACAAAGCACCTGCAGAAATACAATGAAACTTTTTCTAGTATTAAATCTTACTAAATTTGAAGAGTCCATCCCAGGATCTGCAGAACTCTCTCCAGGGTTTTGGAATAAATGGACGAAGCCACCTGGGAATGGCACCTGCATACATTGTGGTCTTAAACATACTGAACATCAACTCCAGAGCCTCGATATATTCAACGGTCTGTTGTGGGACGTTGTTTTCCAGGCAGCCCAACCTGCATTCATACAGAATAGTAGCCACACCTGCACATACGAGATCAAAGAATTTGCTATTCACTTGCATATACACACGTTAATAAGCTGAGGAATTTGAATTCTAACACAATGGAACTACCTTCAAAAAACTCATAGTTATTCTCACTGCAGCTGGAAGTGAAAAAAAATTAAAATATTTTTTAAAAAAATCCTAGCTAGATATTGACACAATAGCCATTTCTTTCTGCAATAATATTTAGCATGAGAAGATATTCAGGAATCACAAAAGAAGCAGAGCAGCCCTCCAGCATGTTTGCTGTTTTTTCCCACTGTACCATAAATTCTAAGCCTGATAGACTCTCCTCTGAACACATAGGGAGATGTAAGTCCAAAGATATTTCTGGCAACTGGTGATAATACAGAAATTTCTAGTAGTGCCCTTCGTGATCCTGATAAGCTAGTAGTAAATGGATAATTAGTACACATGAACAGATAACGAGCACATACTGCACTACAGTGATTTCACTGCACACCATATAAATATATTCTACTTGGCCCTGAAAAACAGCAGCTGTCAGACAGCACTGAAAATGACAGGACTGATTGCTGTTCACAATTTACTATGATTTTCTCACTTGAATTTTTGCAGTATTGTAGTGATTGCCATTCAAAGTCTTTTTCACCCCCATCTTTCTTATTATTAATAGGTACAATAAGCACGATGCTTAACTTCTGTTCTGCCCTCCAACAAAGACCCCATGAATCCTCAAGAATATACAGAGAGATACAGAAATTTTCAGCAATTTCCATTTACTTCTGTTTTTGCTTTTTTTTTTTTTTTTTTTTCCTTTGTATTTCTTCTTTCCTGACAAAAATAATTGCTGAATCTGGTTATTTTCACATACTTTTCCTTCCTTAACTTTCCTCCCTCTGGAGATATTTTGATACGCCTTTTATTTCTCCCAGGCATCTTTCAACAACTGCCAGTTCATATGCATTCTTTTATTGTTTAGATAGTTTTTTTTTTTAATCTGACATATTGGGTTCCCTGAACAATTGACAGTGAGTGAAGTCAAAAACGCAGTTGATATAAGAAATAAACCATGTGTGTCAGGCACATAATAAATGAAAAGCTAAAAGAATGTGAGGAACTTTAACCTACAAGTTGAAGTGAATCTTTAAGCTCAGTTTAAAATCTCATAAAATTTGTAACTTAGTTGAATACCATTGTAGACATTACTGATGTAGAACAGATTTCAATTATTTTTGCCAAACAGACAGCTATTTGATGCAGCATCTTGAGCAATTTGAAAGTTTTTGCAAAACTCAAGCTCTTCAGCTGCACGTCTGTAGAGTGCCTGTGTTTTTTAAAGGTGTAACATATAACAAGATCAGATCACATGAAGTCAGTTAAAGGAATACGTGAAACCCATCCCACCATTAGATCTCTGAAAGAAAACACAAAATCCCATACTAGCTCAGGCTGAAGTTCAATCTAGCACAACATCATCTCTCTATTGTTTGCAAGTGCCAGGTTATTCTAAGGCAAGCATAACAATGTCAGCCTTGGTGTGTTGTAGGCAGGGAAAAACAGTGTCTTTTCTCCCAATATACAGTGAAGAGAATTTAGATAGATCACGCCGCGATTGTCCATCTGTAATTTGGCCAGTGGTGTATTAAACTGACACATCTTAGAATTCAAACTGAGAGAAGGTTTACACCTCTGTTCTTGAGAGGTAGATAGAAACAAGGAACACTGGAAAGCGGTCAGGGCCCTCACCATACGTTTTGCCTATATATCAGCGTTTCCACAGTAAATGTTACTTAATACAAAGTATCTCTTTGGATTGTACAAATCAATTCTACTAGTATCCATTTCCTTAAGCTGGGAGAGATGCATATGGACACAAAATATCACAGTCACCATTAATCACAATAAGGTAACAGTAACTTATGACAAAAATAGCTAAATGCAACCACGTTGCTTTGCATTAACTCTTCTTCATGGGTGTTACTCAGCCAAAACTTACCTTCCATTGAGTACTTGAAGAAAAGATTATTAACATTGGTCACCGTTTCCCCATCTTCCTCTTGACTTCTGAGGGTGTAGATTCTTTTAATTAAATCTGTGATAACTTCATTGACTCCTCCAGAGTAAATTGCCACATCTTTGGGTTTCAGAATTTTTTGCCTCAGTACACTTCTCATTTTTAGCCACTGTTCCCCCTCTCTAGAAACAAAAAAAACATTAATAACATCTATACAAAATTATCCTTAACAACCTCTAGCTCGGTAAAAGCTGTCATGATGATCATTTATGTTTTTGAGAAGGAAAATCAAGTAGTGAAATGAAAACAACGGAGGTATAACATTCTCAGTATTTTGTGCCTACATTTTTGCTTTATACTTACTGTATATTTGCAAGCTTTCCTTTAGCTGAGGTATGTATTGAAATCTTCTTGAATTTTGAATTGTAAACATCTGCACACTTGATATAAGCAGAGCGACTGGAAACAGTGATTGCAAAGATGTCTTTCAGTTCCTTCAAAAGACAGCTAATTGTCTGTAGTGACAGTTACTTTGAATTGCAGTGTATTCCCAAGAAATTCGCTCACTTTGAGAAATGCTGCTGTAAGGTACAGAAGCTTACTGGCCAGCAGCAAAATTGAACCTCTTTAGTGTCTCTTTGGAAACACTTTCTGAATGTCTCAGTTTAAGCTCTTCTTACACAAAATATCAAGGAACTGCTGGCTTGACTCTGCAGTGCAATCCATATTGCCTTTTGTCACCATGTAAGAAATAGCCTGGCCGTGGCTCAGGAAAACAGTTTCCCTCTAAATAAACAAGCCATCTCAGTGCCGACTGTGGGCTGCTCCCTGTGGCAGCTAACCACACACCCACACGTTCACTGTCAGTTTATTAAAGCTTTGAAGATGGATATCTTTTCTACAGTCTAGCTGCACACAAACATGTATCTGCATAGGGATGTACTTCAGTATGGATTTACAATGCAGCAACTTCTCTGCTTTAATCCAACGAGAGAGAACTTTGATAAACAATAAAGTGAACCCAAACCAGCATCCACACAACATGCTGCCAACTGGATACAGTCGTTCGGATTTGAAGCAGTAAAAGCATGTTTGTGCAGTGCTATGCCAAAGCCAGTGTGCCCTGCTCCTATATACTGCGTCCAGATAACCAATACCCACAAATGTTATTGCACAAGGTCACTCATTCCACTGTCAAACTATGCATCATGATCAACTTCCTGAAATTTTACAGCATAATGTAGAAGTCACTAAAAATTAATTCCCTCCTCCCCCGGCTAACCATATGGATATCTACAGGAAAGCCTGAATTCTCAGATGACCTGTACAGTTCTTCAGAAAAGCGATTCAATTTTTCCAACAAAACTTAGAAATGGAGACATAACAGAACTCACGCTGAAATTAGTCCTGTAGCTCTTCCTCTTAAGTCTCTGTATTCCTGCCACGATTCCATGTTAGCTCTCTGTGGTGCTCTACCTTCTGACCGGAGCACTTGAGCAACCATATCTCGATCTGCAATGGATACAACAAACTGGGGACCAAAGTGAGACTTGAAGATCTTTCCATATTCCTGAGTGTGTTTTTGCTACAACGTCACCAACAAAGAGAAAGAGAAGTAAAATATTACTAAGGAAACTGAGAAGGAAGCTGACAATTTGTCACAGAGTGAGTCAACTTATCACACCTAGGACTTGACTCCTAGCTTTTTAGTCATGGAATGGTTTGAAACATCACAAGAAAGCATTAAAGTATTACTGGGAAAAATCCATAAGGAAAATACAGGGGTCACACTGACTGAACATTCAGCTCTAAGGCACAAAATCATTGGTGAAATAAACTATCGAAAAGATGGAAGGACATAGGGCATTTAAAAACACATTTATCTTCAGATCAAATACATTAGAATATCTGGGGAAAAAAAAAAAAAAGAGAAAAAAAACAAGGGAGGATGTGAATTTGAAAGTATAATAGAGAGATACCATAATTCACTTTTAATGCCTTTAATGTACATACTGCAGCAGTTTACAAAGAAACATTTATACTTTCTTCCTTCTAAACTAGGATAGCAACTATGTAACAGCCCAATAAAATAACCCTACATTTTGGGACACATTGATGAGCAGCAAATTGATGACATAGATTAATTCTGAAAAAGGAAGAAAACGTTGAAGGATTATTCCAGCAGAGAAGTTTGTTTAGTGGTTGATTCATGAGTTGTATGATTCAAGCTGGAGGCGAGCAACAGGCCATTAAACATGAAGTGATGCATCACTGTCTGAGGAAATTTAATGATTATGTTCAACAAATTTAATTCCAATGTTGTGAAATGAAACAACTCCCAGGAACTCATTTGGAACAGAGGTTCAACATCATTCTAGGGAAAAAAAAGTCTGCAAAGGAACAGTCGAAACCACACAGGGACTTAAATTTAAGACTGTTTAAGATCTTAAAGGTCTTACTTCTGTTTGAAGCAGCAAAATAAGTTAAACTGCCCAAAGTTTGACACATTACTTTCATCTAATGTAAAGACATCTGCTTGCAGAGTTGTGTTGGTTATAAATCAAACAATTTCAGTACACTTAAGTTAGTGAAAGTCCAGTGTTGACCAAGACTAATTTATGAGATGTTTTAATCAGTATTGCTCAGAGAGATGAAATGTTCAATTGCCAAAAGTAAATTTAAGACACATGAATCACTTTCTACCATATGATACCAAGTGCCTATAAAAATGTAGTTCTTTTTGCCTACTTTCCAAACAAAACAAGAGTTGTGCAACTGTGGTCTCTGCCAGTCTCCACTTAACTACTTTTGAAACACATTGGCCAATTTCAGTCAAGTTTCAACAAGCAGTTAAATCTCCTACAAATATATTCGCCCCATTTTCAAAGATCAGCATCTTGATTCAAACTAGACACACATTTGCCATTCTGACAAAGGAAGTGCTGCAGTAGGAACTCAACCATGACCACTCCTGCTTGGTCTCCTGTTAACCAAACATACATGCAGACCAACGTATAAATAACAAGCACTCCCAAAACCCAAAGCAGCTCTTGCCCCAGAGGAATTTCAAGGGATATTGAAGCTGAGCATGGAGAGGTCTGAGACCATGAGTCTTTAAGGTAGGCATGTTGTGGCACAAATGGTGCAAGGAAAAGGCAGTGGTGTGAGGGGAACACAGGGGGGAAATACCAATCTCAGAACGTCAAGCTCATCAAATTTTGTAATAGAACTGTCTGGTTTTTCCACTGATTGTGAGAGTGACATAAGAGATTGAACTTGAACAGAGAACAAATAGAGTATCAAGTCGTTCAACCAAATAAATGAAATATCTGTTCTCAAACAGAAATCGACAAGGTATTTGGCCTTCTCTTGCTTTCAGCAGAATGGTGTTCAGTATTAACCTGATGTTTAAAGAAATGCCTGGAATTTCTCTTCCATATTTTCTATCACAACACAGGTTTTCTTTCTCTCATTCCAGACCTTAAAAATATTGCAGTTTAATGACTCACATACCACTCTCACACCATACATTCTTCCATATGTCATAAATTCTGTAAGCATCCAAACCCTTTCCTCTCTTCTTTATTTCCTTTATACTCAAACAGTACTGATGAGACACAAGATCTGATCCTGTCAAATTAGGAATACATTCCCTTTATCATAATTGCTGTAAGCATTGCTGCTTTGGCCAGGACTGACTGGAATCATGTTACAGAGAACAGAACCTCCTTTGTGAAAAGCCCAGCTTTCCCCACCCCTCCTGCAGATAGCCTATGAGCATTGCTGCACACCAAAGGATACTGCTTAAGTAGCTCTGCTGGTTACCAAAGGGTTTCAAATTAATTCATTCCTGATGTTCACTGTATTGTTAAATTTAACAGACTGTTATTAAGCCGGCTAATGCCTGCTTGCATGCAGCAGGTATGCAAACAGGCCATCTGTGATTTGCAAAGTGATTGCTGAGGCTCCATGCAGAATAAAAACCAGCATCGCTTTACAGCTCCTCCTCATCCTTCCTCCTGCCTTCTTCTCTGTGAATAACATTTGGTGAAGAGGTTTTCTGGTTCAGAGCATACACTATTTACCTATTTTTATATCCATTCCAATACTTTGATGCTTTTGAATGTTTCAGCTTTCGTATTTACAATAGCGAAATCTTGAATTCAACATGCAAGGTATTTTTTGGCTTGACAGCATATGGAGAGTGCCTCACAAACTGGGCACTACCACAGCAGCAGTGGAAATAAAAAACGCAAAAACAAACAAACAAACAAAAAAACCCTTCCGCAAATACAATTAAGTTTAATCTGCACATAACTGTTGTTAAGTAATTAAGCAATTAATTCACCAACAGCTCAGATCACAGGGCAGACTGACACTGAGATCCAAGTGATAAGCACACTGCAGTCAAAACTAAGGAACGCATTTGACTTTTTGTTCCCCAATCTCCTTTATTTCCAGCTCCTTTCAAGCTCCCGGTTTCCAGGTTCTTTAAGCTCTATTCCTGCTGGTTTCCAAAGCTGGACTAAGGGGCTCGCACGCCCAGCCCACGCTGCCCCCTCACGAGGGGTGAGACCGAAGTGCCAAACCAGGGGGTCACCCCTCCGCCCCTACCCTCCCACCCTCACGCCAGGTGACAGCGGCCGCGCTCTCTGAGGAGGACCCGAGGGGACTCTCGGTGTCTCTGTGCCTCCCTCCCTCCGTCAGGCAGCTCCCGCCGCCATCACGCCCCGCTTCCCGCCTCCCCGCCCGCGCGCGCCGCTGGGGCCGCCAGAGGAGGGGGCGCGGGCAGGGGTTGGGCAGCGCGAACCGCGACCGTTGGTTCCCCCTCCACGGCCCCTTCGGGGGAAGGTTTCAAACCGCCCGCCTCCCGCGGAGGGGAGGGCCCTGCGGGCGGCCCCTCCGCAGCTGCTGGGGGCCAGGCGCATCCACCGCCCCCTCAGGGGACCTGTAGAGCCGAAGTATATTTACGTAAGGAGAGGCCAGGGTAGAAGCGAGGGGCGGGGAGGAAAAATGGTCTCTGGGCACAACAGGGTGACGCCGGGCTGAGGTGAAGGATGGGCAGAAGCCCCTGCGGGCTGAGGCACCTCAGCTGCGGCACGGCCTCGCCTCCAGGCTGCAGGAAAAGCCTCGTTTCCCAGCTCCGCCGCCAAAAACAAGCGAGCGGGGGAAGCGCGAGTCTTTGCGGCAACCGTGCTCCAGAGGTGCTTCCTTTTCCCTTTCAGAGCCTATGGCACACAGCTAAAAGCCCCCCCAAAAAAGGGGAAGAGTCGAAAGCCTGGGTGCGCCGGCGAAGCGGCCGCCCGCACGTCTAAGGGGAACTGCCGAAGGCGATGCCGGCAGAACCCGAAACAAAAAGTGCTAAACGTCCAGAGCTGAGGGACGCGGAACCGAACGGGGACCTCCTCGCCTCGGCTCTTTCGTAACAGCAGGAACGCGGCGATGCGGTAACGCGGCGATTAGGCAACATTTTGCGAGGGGAGAGAAGGAAAAGTTCGGTAATCCGGCGTGAATAAAACCCGAAAGAGCCGACCGAGTCGTACCTGGATCTCATGAATGCGGCCGAAGCCGTCCTTCCAGAAGAACTCGTAGAGATTGTAGAGGGTGTTGGGTCCGGGCATTTCGTGCAAACTCTTCACCCTGCCCAGCTGCGGCGAGGGCTCCAGCAGCTCCCCCGGCCGCGCCGCTTTGTTCCCCGCGCCGCTCCGCACCTCCAGGGACTGACTGCCCCACGGCACGGGCGCCTGGTGAAACCTGCTGACAAAAAGCGCGTGCTGGAAGTAAGTCCTCTCGGATTCAAGTGTCTGCTTGCATTTCGTGGTCAGAACTCTCGTCAGGAAAGACATGTCTTAATTTCAGGAAGGTCCACTTTTATTATTTTTCCCCCCCCTGCAGCTGCTTTTTATTTGGTTGTTCTTTCTTCGCTGCCTGCTTTAACTTGTACAAGCAGCACTACTCCAAACTCTTACTGCATGAGCATCAGTTTACACAGACCATTATTTAACGCTCCCTCCCCTAGGGCTGGAAAAGGGGGGTGGGTCTGGGATGAGACTTGAATAGAACTAACCTATTATTTCGTATAATTCAAATCAGATAAGTTTGCCCATTAAGCACGCAGTCCAAGTTTACTTTTTTCCTCTTTCCCCAATTGTTTTGGCAAAATCTTACATGTGGGTTATCCCAACTTTCTCCTTCATTACAAAGGCCCCAAACTCACCTTATCATCTTCTCCTTCCCCCCACCCTCCCATATGTTAGAAAACAGTATTTTCTGAGAGAAGTTCTCTCAGTATGATACTATTTGTCATCCAAGAACATATATACAGAAACACTGCTACATCCACAGAAAACAGCAATGGTTTTCCCACTGCAACACTACAAGCTTACATTCCTGTAAATTACAACAACCAGAGATGTTATTTCTATTACAGAGAGGTATGTTTGTGAAACGATGTACCTTGTGTCAACTTTTGTAGAAGATATCCAGTGCTTTCCAACTACTCGCAATGGTCACCTCAGCTTTTCCTCAATTCAGCTGCACAGGTCTGCAATCACACAGAGAACTTGAGCTGCAGCCTGTAGATCAGCTTGTTTCACACAATTTCAAAGGCCTTTGTTCTACCTTCATACCCATTTCTATATGCTCATGGAAGTATTTGTGATATTCTGTAAAAACCTCATTAGCTTCAGAAAAGGTGTGCAAGAGATCCAGCTCAGTTACAAGTAGATCAGAAGCTCTGGTAAAACCAGAAGACAGAGGAAAGTAAAAGGCAAGATCCACGTTTCTAGAACTTACTTTACCAGCAATTTAGTCATGACTATGTTCAGTGAGCTTCTAAGTTATTCGTCTTTGTTTTTCCTTATATTCTCTGTTTTTGTACATTTGTATTTGGGGTCACAAAACAATTAAGATTTGTGTACATGCTTGATTTTACCACTGAGAATAAAGTCTGTGTCCTGTTAGACATCACCCTTTGTAAGCACAGCATTATATGTTCCAGAAATAAAATGCACAGGATAAACAGCAATCTATAAAGTATGCACTTGTTTAAGCTAAATTAGCACCTTTAAAATAGACTTCATTATGTTTAAAAAGTCCAGAGAAAAGCAACATAACAAATTAGAAGCTTTTAAAAATGATAAATAGAGGCGATGGAGTTGCATCATTTGGTAAAGATGACTGCCAGAAGCATGACAACAGCATACAGATGTGTACATCTTCTGTTAAAATGCGTATCAGAAGAAAAGAAACAATAGGCTTATGTCTATTGTTTCAATGTCTTGGATAGATTTTCAGATAGCCTTGCTACCTCATATCTCTGGGTTCTCTCACATTTCAGACTGCCAAGCTACCTCATGAGGTTATGCAGTTGCTCTCACTAACTTCGTAAGAGCAGATTTAATAAGCATCTGTTGGGCACAGTCTGGGTGTATCACATTCTAGATTACCTTTGTAGTTTCCCTTTACTGTCTACGTTTATGCCTGCTGTAGCTATGTTATTTCTTTAACGTTTGCCTAAAGATGGTTTGGGAGACAATTACTTATAAAATAAATGGTTCTGGGGAAAAATAAAAAATAAAATCAGGTAGATGTGATGATAAACTTGTTCTGACTTGTACTATTGAAAGGTAAATCTGTGTCTTGCTTACGAACAGTGGAGAAGAAAAAAAAAAACAAAATTATAAAAACAGGGAATACCTCTTAAAGCAAATAGTAGATGCACTAAGAGAGCTGTAGGAGGAGTTAAAAAGAACAGGAAGATGGACAGTAGCCCTACAGAATGGAAAGGACTCTCCAAACTAAATCACCTAGATTGCATTGGCAATATTCTAAGAACAATATCTAAAATATTTAAAGCTATTGAATAACTGATGATGTCCCCAGATTGAATGCCAACAAATAAAATGAAAACAGCATGAATTCACTTTGCCAGGAACACTGGTATAACTCCATAGCCATACATATTAAAGGTTACAACAGAATTTTTAAAATAAATTAAGATCAGTACTAGAAACTGGGAAGTGAATTTTGTTTTTAATTTTATGCAGTAGCTCACCAGCATTAAAAATTGATTTTCATGTTCTAATCTCTAGATTGATGGAGAGAATATAGGCTCCTCCTGAAACTGCTTCTCACATCTTTTAATACGGTAAGTATTTTATATCAGCCTCACACCATTAATATCACAAAAAGCATCTGCCTCTATTCATACGGCTAGTAAGAAACTCAGATATTCTACATACTGGAGGGCTTCAATGTTGCAACTGGCACTAGTTTTCTCCACTCGTATGTTTTTGTAGTTAATTCCATATTTGGGCATTTCCCTCCCCCTATCCTTTATTTCACAATGAATTACCTCTTCCTCACAAAATCAATTATAAGAGAGTTTTTGTAGCCAGCCTACTTGAAAAAGAGTTTCAGAAGCTTTGTTCTCTAAGAACTTCACCAGAACTGTACCTATTTTTTCCTCAGAGGAGTTTCTAGAGGTGCCAGTAGTCCAAGCATAGGAACTACACTGTAAATCCACACTTCTGCTCACACATCTAAGCAGTTTAGCTCATTTTCATGTTTCACTTCTCTTGTGTGTTTGTAAAAAAAAGTCTGAAACACATTGTATTTAAAATAGGTAGACAGAAAATGCAATTTCAGTTACAGCAGAGCTGAAGAGATCACTAATTGTACTCTATTCACTTCAAAAGAGACTAAACCATAGAACTTGCATACAATATATAATATATAATACCATAAATATATAATATCATTCTATCATTCCGTGACTGCCTGCTATCAAGTTTATCATAACAAATCTAGTTTTAGGAAATGAAAAACAAACACCTATGTATCTCTGCCACCTGGATAGACTTTTTAGTCGTTTAAAGATCATGCTCAACATTAGGAAGTCTAAGAAAGGTTCTCCCATTATTCACATGCACACGTATTAATGTAAAAACATAATGCAGGGAAAAGCCAATGAATTTGATTGTTTTTGAGTGATGTTATCAGCTTTTAAAGACAAGGCAGAACGAATGTGGCAGAAAGCATTTGATAAAAGAGACCTAAGACATGCCTGTGAGACACTTCCATATCTCCTTACTGTCTTGTAATTTCAATGATTAGGAATTAACAAATAATATCTTAACCCATTTCTCCCCAAATAAAAATACTGAGGAATCTGCTTAGAGGCAGTGGTTGAGTGTAATGCAAATTAACGAAGAAAGCGCAGAACAGCCATGATGACTAAAATGTCAACTTTCTTGATTATAACAGAAGAGAAATTTAAAGGAAAATTAACAGTGCAGTTCCACATATCTGTAAAATGGGCTCCTTTCAGGCACAACTTGACTGACATCCACAGTAATATAATTTTTACTCAGTATACAAGGCAGCCAGTAGCTCTGAAGTCTTGTGACAGCAAAAACATAGTACCAGTAAGCCTAAGAGGCCTGCATACTGTAGCTTGTAATAACAGAGGCTCACAAAGTAATTTATAATAAAATAAAAAAGTTATAACATTATCTTATAAATATATTTGGAACATGATAGATGTTTCTAGGAAGTTCATTGAACGGAGTAGACATGAAGAGCTGCTAGTAGATACAAGTTCAGATAGACTTTTACAATAACACTATTATACAGTAACATTGTACAAAAGCCATAGAATATCCTGAGTTCAAAGGGACCCAAAGGATCACTGTGTCCAACTGCTGGCTCCACAGGACCAAGTCAGACAGAATTGTTGGGATGCTTCTTGAGCTCCAGTAAGCTTGGAAGCGGTCACAGCACCATGTGTGACCACGCTGTCAGTGAAGAACCTCTTCCTGACATCCAACCTGAACCTCCCCTGGTCACTGATTATTATCAGTAATGATGTAGTAATCTATCAATGCAGACACAGTTTTGTTTTTCTAGCTAAACTATTGAAAAATAATGCTTGGAATTGTAATAGCCAAATTACTCCATGGTTAAACAGTGAAAACCAGGAATGGAATACTTACGAACGTGAACAATTGTGTGGGTTACCACAGCACTGAATATGTAATTACACTATTTTCTTCTCTTTGCTGTGCCAGATGATAATTGTGTGGTTCTGTTTGACTTTCAAATAAGAGTTATTAATGCATGCATCACTGTTTACTGCTTTACCACCACACTTTGCATCCTTACTACAGCAGAATTCAAGATGGAGGTCAGACCAACCAACTACAGCATGTTAAATAATCAACATAATCAGTAAAGCCCAGATTTTACTCCAAGAGACAGACAAAGCTGAAATAAGTCTCCTAGAGTAGACTAGAAAAGACAAAAAGAATGAAACTTACCTACATTTGAGCAAGCAGCAGCAGATTTCACACGACCTAGGGTAAAAGCTAAGCTTGTGGAAGGATGTGTATTGTCTGGTTCCCTTTTCCTTAGAAATACAATTACAGATTTGTTCCAGGTACCAGAAGTCCAGTAGTGTCAGAGAAACAAGGAATTCCCACGAAAAACAGTGAATGCAGCAGCTGTAACATAAAACTCGCTGTTCCAATCCACGTAAGCCCACTGAACCGTAAAGAAGAAGTTATGCCGTCAGCTCTAGCCAACCAAAACACATTTATGTGACTTGGAAGATAAACATTTTCTCCTTCTTCCACAATCTTGCAGAACATGTATTCATCAGACTGAACAGAAACTTAAATATGCAGTTCTTTACATTTAAACAATGACTTTTGTGCTAAAATCAGCAGTCTGCTGATTTTAAAAAAATTGTTTTATGTAACCAGTCAGCTTGGACACTTATTATTCCAAACAAGTTGGAGCACATGCCTCTTTCACAGTAGATGTGTTTCAATTTCAGTTAACTTTTGGTATGTAACGGGATCACAGTATAAACTAAACTTGACTATCGACAATTTAAGATTGTGTATTATTATTGGAGGATAGCTTGCCTGGAAATCCACAATCATCCTGTTCTCTCAGTCTAGACCCCCTAGCGGGGTCATATTAACTGTGCTTTGTTACCTTCACTAAGTTATTTCTAAATCCAATTTAAACTTGCCCTCCTCTTCGCATGAACTCTGACAAAGTTCATCTGAAGCTTTCTTTGTGTCCTAATAGCTTTGCTATGCAGAGTCAGTGGTTACATTATTGTCTTAGCAGGAATTCTGTTTTCTCAGAATTATTTTCATTTTTTAATAGCCTAGGCTGTACCTGCCTTGTAATTATTTGAACAGTGTTATAAATATTGTACTACATACAAGACATCACAGTGTTCAAATAGCTAATGCATCTAAACACTGTTATGAAAGCAAAAGGCATTTGCCGGGAGGCATTTAACTTGGCCCAATAACACCTTCAACTAATGCTATAAAGATAGGCTCTGCAGAAATTTCAAAAGGAAGAACAGTTGAAGCACTGAAACGTCAGAAATTTCAGCAAAAAAAAAGTTTCATTGTAATTTGAAATATCTTTTCACTGCGAAAGCCATGCCTTTAGTCATGGGTTTTGCTTCTTCTGACTGCTCTTAAATGCGTATTTTGAAAGACCTTTTCAAGTTGTGAAATCACTTCATTGGAATTTTAAACGCTTACCAAATTCCCATTCTTTTTCCTGAAAAAAGACAAATTTGAACTTAGAGCGTTAGGTGACAACAGAGCTTATAGTAACTTACTCATGAAGCAGCTTTAGTTTACATGAAAAAAAAGAAAACTACTTCTCTGTCTTTGATTTCACCTACCACACTTTAATTTCAAGTCTTAATCAAGTATTGTATAAAAGAACTCACAAATCCAAGCAAACTGCCCATCCCAGCATCTGATAGCTCTGTGCATTATTTACTGTTTAATGCTTAAGCAGAAAACCATAAATCAACTGCAATAAATAAGTGATTCAGCTCTACTTATAGATTTCTTGTACCAGGTATAGATGCTTATCCTGTCTCACGGAATAGCTGCCTTCAATTCCCATTTTTAAGTTCTTAAACACATCATAGGTAGGTTCCACTAAAAACTGTGAGCATCAGGAGGGCACAGGAAACCACAGAGAAATAGAAACTGCATCTATTTCAGTGCTTTGCAGAGCTGAAATGCTGTTGGAAAGTGTAACACCAATGTCAGTGTACCCTTATAGTCTTTAAAGTCGTTTTAATGAATAGCAGCACTCTCCAAGCATTAATCCCTTCACAGACAGTTGCTGACTTGCCATGGGGATAAAGAGCACAAACATAAGTTTCAGTATTGTAGACTGTCAAAACCACAAAGAACTATAAAAAAGAATGACAGTTCCGTGAAGAAGCTAGAAAGCTTCTTTCTCTGTCTGGAATTCAGCCTAGCTAAGGAGGTGACCAGGAGCAGAGTAACCTGAATTATGTCCAAGGAAATTGCACATCTATTCACTGACTTCCAAGAAGTAATATGCTTACCCTAAAGTTCACCTGCTTCTGTCACCACTCAGTCTGAAAACAGTTTTGCTATACAAATTTGTGTTATTTTGTCCCCCACTTAATGAGAATTCAGGATATCTTTGAGCTCTATCACTTCCAGATGTCCATGGTTTATCAGGATCCATGAACTGCATTGCACCTTGTTATGCCAGAATACTCCTACAGGGATACAGGCAGCATCTCAGAAAAGTACAAATATACAGAAGCACAATGGCAGAAAGAAAGGGCTCCTTCACATGCTTCCTCAAGACAAGCTCAGAGCTCTCAGCCATGTTGTTTCTAGTTTCTATAGCATGCAATCTGACAATCCATTTGCACAATGAACAGCCAGTAAGCATTTGACAAAGAACGTGAGTGCCTGACTGCAGCTTCCAGGGATCAGATTCTTGGGATTTAGGCCACAGGGCAGTGAGAGCCCACCACAGGTACTGTGCAGTTACTGTGAAGCATCATGCAACCTATCATACTGCTTCAAACAGATACCTGTGTGACAAAATTCAGTGCTGAGTTTTGTAGCTGGACAAGATAGCTTCGTTTCCTGCAGAACTGGGATTGCAGACTAATTCTGAAGCAGTATATTGTACCCACTGCATTGGGAGTCATGCCTTAGAGAACTGCTAGCCCATGCAGTTAGTGAGGAACAAGCAGTTTTTCCTCAGCAACAGATTCCTGTCTGGAAGGCAGAACTGAGTATATTGCAGCATAGATACAAGACAGAAACTGTTTTATACTGAGCAACTGCACATCTGTTTGCCACGTGCAGCCACAATCATCTGTATGGAGTAATCACTGCAGCAATTCCATCAAGTTATTGCATCTAAACTGTGAACACCAACACAACATTACTGGAACATGTATTCTTACCTCTTACAATTATTTTTCTTTGCTTAATGCTGGAAGTACTGCATCCCACATAGACTGTTATTTAAAGTAAGATCATTGGACATCATAGCCAAGATTCGCAGAATACTGCACCACTGTCCTAACTTCAAGTGCTACTAATGCAACAGTTATAAAAACAAATATTGCTGTCATTTCCAAATGCAGCAGTTCTTCTCCTTTTTTCCTCCTCCACAGTTTATGATGAAAGGAGAAGAGTTCTAAAGTTATTCATAAAGTGCGGTACAGAAAATTACACAGAGGGCTACTGGCTTTCTCATTTGTCCCACTGCCAGACTCTTTCCACTTACTGTTGCTACGAGAGCCTGTCTAAATTATTAGAAGGAAATAATGCTTCAAAACTGAGAAATGGAAATCAGTGCTAGAACACTGTCCATTAGTCTTTTGCCTTTAAGATGCTCAGGTACTGTTGTGAATAGTCCCAACTTGAGAGGCAAAAAACCTAGAACAAGAAAGAGAAGAACCAGGCATTACATGGTATATCAGAGGACAGAACAAAAGCCTTAACAGAATCAGACCAGTTTCATTTTCAAAATTATTTCTGATACAGAAACTGAAAACAAGTGCTGTGTGCTCTCAGCTCAGCCTACTGTATTCAAGAAATATTCTTTATCTGTGGATTCATACTAAAAAGAATCAATTTGTTTCTGAAACACACCTGTCACATAACTTGGATAGCTTTACCATACGTACTACTTCCAGTAGAGCAATTTTTTTTTCCTTTTTTTTTTTTTTTTTTTTTTTTTTTTATACAGTAATCTATTTCGAAACAATGGCTCAAGATCCATGCTATTTGATAGGTTGTTCCTATACACTCTCAGCAAGGTAAAGAAGAAAAAAATCCACAATACAAGTAGTATAACTAATTGTTGCAGTATTAAATTGAAGGTTTCTTGTTTGTTTGTTTTTAAAAGTGCTCTTTACCTCTTCACAGGTCTTCTACTAAGTTACTTTATTTACTTCATTACAAATAAAGCTGCAGGAACCTCTCCTTCATGCATTTGCCTCCTAGCCACCCTCTGGCAAGACAAAACACTCTTTGATCCAACAGTAACTTCTGTGGTGACACCGCACTGTTTAGCAGTTATGGTTTTATTATGTAACTAATAAACAGTACATAAATAACAAGGGAAGTAGCTTTTATTTCAGAAACTTCTCAACAGTAGCAACAAAAATAAAGGAAATGGAGCACAGAGTTTCTTTGTACTTACTAATGCTCTCCTCTAGTTTACTTTGAAGACAGAGCCCTTCTTTCTCTAAGAACTTCCAAATATTTCAACCAATTTGTTAGGATTTTAAAACAATTTAGGTCATGATTACCAACTAGGTCCTAGTTTAAAAACATTATGTAAAGTGCTCCTATCAGGACTCCATTTATAACTTTCATTTAAGCAGTTTAAACATCAATGATTTGCTAAGTAGACAGTAACCAGATAAATAACATTTCTAATATCAGTACAAACGCCATATACAAAACCTTCTCAGAATTCACCTGAAAAAGTGTCTTCAGCCAATAAAAATAAAATCTGTTCATCACACTGAAAACCAGACAGGTATAACAGGATCCAGTCACTGGATAATACACATCTCCATGATGAGATCTAGTTCCTTATCTTCTTTCACATTTAATCACGAGAACATAAATGCTGCTAAGCAAAAACGTGGTTACACAGATGCACACAAAGATGTCTTTAGAGGACCTGCCAGAAGTCTCAAATCCATATTTTTAGTTATGGAGAGAGGTACACAGATGCACAGTTCTTATAGCATGCACACACGAAGGCCATCATTTCCGGAAGCGCTTAAATAGCGGGTGGATGTGCTTATTTGAAGATGCCTTACTCCGAGATGAGTGATATTCCATATAAACTGCATCATCTGCTCCTGACATAGAGCTCATTGTGCCTGCACGGCGTGACATCTGTAAGTACGGAGAGAAAAAACACATGCTTGCAGTGGGTGATTAGACAGATCAGCTCTCATCCACAGACCTTCAGACCAAAATGCCTTCAAAGTTGGTTTTTATTTTCCTTAAAGGAGAATTTCTACTAAGAAAGTAACTGCCTACCACTCACTCTTATGTAAAGCAGCCTCTTAGTTTCTGCCCTTTGGGCATGAGGAAATCAGTGAATTAATTAGCCAAGTGCTAATGCAGCTTAAAAAAAACAAAACACTAATGCATCAGTGCTGGCATCACATTCAGAATTAAAATGGAACAGTCCTGTTCTACTGCATTTGTGGTCATCCTTTTCAAAGTATTTTTCATTACCTGAACTGACTTTGAACCATATTCTCCAGCAACTACTTCCTCCTCAGCATCTAGGTCAGATGCTTGTAGGACTTTCTGAAGAAGCTGCTGCTGTTCTTCTTTGGACGAAAATGAAAGCTCTTCCTCCTCCATGCCTGCAAGCTTTGTTATTACCTAAGAAACAGAGCACAATACAAGGCAGGGGTTTTTGAACTGTTACCAGTTATGGTGCGTGTGCAAGTTATCCCCCACCTCACAATCTCCTGCAATATTCAGGCTGGAAATGCATTAGCTCTAGATAGAGAATGTATACCAAATTCCGTGCCAGCTTGACCAGGAACCTTATTGGAAGGCTGACTTCATGCTGTAGCTTCAGGTTTTGTCCAGTTTAAGAAGTAGTGCTTTATATTGCATGAATATACTTTACACTAAAGGACTTCGTATTTCAGAACAATAATCAGTTAGCTTTCCTGATGCCAAGAATTTTAACATTCACATTTAGGAACACTCACAATTAGCTGAGAGACTGCACAACAACCTGCAACAAAATGTCAGCAGTGTCATTGCTGTCAGTGGCAATTTCTAAGTTGAAAAATGCATTTCTCTGAGAAATGTGTAGTTCTAAGAATCTATTCAGGGAAGCAACCTGTCCTATTATACAAACAAATGAACTCTACGATTCCTCTTGTTAAAAACCTCTGTTTTTGAGGTGATCGTAGCACGCGCACTTCATAAACAACAAAATGGAACCACAGGAAGAACTGCATTAGCATGTTTACAATTGTTGCAAAACAGTGCTAGCATATTTCATGAAATAGAAATAATTTCCACTGCATCACAATATTTTTAAGATGTTGAACAGACGCCAAGTTTAAAGTACTTAGATTATTTGATACATTAAGTTCTTCTGCTGTTGATTTAAGCATCAATTTACCCAGCATTCAACCTCAAAAAAAATATACAGTATGGTAACTAACCTTCAGGTAGCTAACCAAACTACTCCTAAATAATTTAGACCCCAAGCAGCAAATAGCGATGGCAAGGCTGTATAAAAGAAGCAAAGAAAGGTGTGATTCAGCAATTAGAATAATCCCCTTTCTGCTGGAAGGCAGAGAAATGAGCTACTGATAGATGAAAAGAAGAAAGTCCTAGAAAAAAAAAATGCATACTGTTACCCTTTTAAGAGAGTACCTAATTTTTAGTAATGTTAGGTATCAGGAATAAAAATTCCAAAAGAAAAGACACCAGCACTGAAATAATTGCCTAAAGATGAAATAGTCATGAAGGCAAACGTCAGCTGGGAATGACATACACAGCTGATTCTGGCTTGTAATGAAGAAACATTAGATGGTTTCTTCAAGTTTCTTCCAACCCTACTGTTGCTCAACGCCAGCTATGTCTAAAGCTTGAAGTTCAGCAAACAGAAGAAAACAGGTATTCTAACATTTCACTACTAATCTTCAAATAAAGAACATTCCAGTACTGGTCAGCTAAAATTCTGCTCCAGAAATTCAGCTGCCATTTGCACTTTTGTGCCCATGAAGTCCGAACTCCTAGGACAACATCTTCCTCTATTTTAACCCCTTACTGAGCTCTATAACCCAAGATTTATATTCAAATAAAAGCAAATAAAGGGATTTCTTTAATCTTCTTGGCTATAGTCACAGAGACTCATCTGTTGTAATTACCTGCAGGTGACTGACTGACAATTTTGTGAAGATACACTCACTACAAAGCAAAGCAAGGTTTTTACATTTAAAGCCCATGGCATGTCTGCTTTGATGGAAAGACCTCCTCTTTAACAGGGCCAATGATAACAAAGCAGTTTAATTCAGAGTACCTGCAGTTCATACAGGTTTTACCCACACAGATGTCCCAAAATGCATGTGTGTCAACAGCTGGGTTCAAGTGCAGTCCAGTTGAGGCTGCTTGCTTTCACCCTGTGCAATCTGAGGTGTGAGTGCTGTGCACGGCCATCTGCAACATCATTTGTCTTTCACATCACTGTCACCACTGCTGAAATGCACCACCTCACTGTGCTCACATCCACTGTTTAGTCTCCATAAGTGTTCAGCAAGCCTCAATGAAGTCCATGGGTGCCATTTTTTCCTGCATGGAAATTTTCCTGCTTCCCATATGCAGCAGCTTTGCTTCATATGCACTTCCATGGCAGGCACTATTTTGTCAGACGGCCCCTCTGCTGCCATCTGTCGCACAACAACACGTAATGGAGTACTGGTGGGAACATTCAGCCTTTGCTGCCATTCCACCAATATCTACCTCTGATGCTATGGACCAACATAATAGAATAGGAAGCATTACTTTCAGATCTGCTCTTATTGAATACTTACCTTCCTAAAGGCTGTATTGAAATAGTTGTATCTATCTTCACAGTAACACAGTTAACAGAATAATGAAGGAAATTTTTTTTGCCTGCAAGCAAAACCTTCATTAATACATTTCTCAACCGTAATTCTCAAGTATCTGACCTAGCCACAAAATGAAAGAGTTAAAGTTATATTCACAGGCAATAGTTTAACAATAAGAATGGATTAATTACCTTGAAGCTATAGCCTTGATCTACAAGAAACCGTTGTCGCTTGGTTGAATATGCCATTTCCTGAGTGTCTTGGGATACAAGAGAATAAAAAAAGGCATTGTATTCCTCTGCAACCATGCCTAGGAGACAAAGCCAGCATGTGATTAGTTCCATTTGGATTACTACAACCAAGAAGAAAAGAGGACTAAATTGTAAAAATAGTGTTCCAATAAGAATTCTCTCCACAAAATCAATTTGTAAGGTTTATTTAAAATACAAGCTGCATCCTGAGCTTACATAAACTGAGTGACAAAGAACACTACGCCAAAATCCCTACTATGGTTCATAATAACTTGAGCATAAGTTCAATTAAATGGAAAAGGAAATTCAGACTAACCCAGTTATGCTGGTACCCTGACAACTTGCTGCTTAACCATGCAAAACAAAGTAAAAGAAAAAGTTATTTACATAATAGTTTGCAAACAAGCAGTAAGAAGAACAAAGATTGTAATAGATGTCAAAAAAGTTAAACAGAAATTACAATGGAAATTTATCAATGTAAGCCAAAGTTCGCAATGTGTTTGCATTAAAAGGAGGATAAAAGGATAAACCCGTCTGTGCATTTTTTAATCAAACGAAAAACAAACAAAAAACCCACCAACAGAACTGAAGCACTGCAATTTTATTCTCCACCTGACAGTTACCAATAATTTCCTCTGAAGTATGACCACTTCCTAGGGAATACTCATTCTATCTAAACTAAGTGCCAACAGGCTGTGACACAAACAATTTTCAAGCTTCTTACTACCTTAACGAGAGAATTCTTGCAGTAGAACCATTTCACCTAGAGCTACTTCATAATTTGTCTCAAGAAGATATAAATGGGATTAGAGCAGATTAAACATCTATTTATCAGTTAATAGAACAGACTTATGTGAGTGTCTTTCAGGAAACATTCAGTTAATCAAGTCAACCAGCAAATTCTGCCTAAGAGCAATTCTCCTTAGTTCAAGGCCAATAGAAATGTCAGAAGACAAAGTGACAGAAGCATCCCAATAGCACTTATACACATTCTTCAAACTGAAACACAGACAAATTTCAAACCAATGAAGCAATTCCTAAATTCCTGACCCCTCAGTAAGTTTTAATCCTACTCACATACACACCCAGCAGAGAAAAAAATGCCAATACAACTGGACAGTTTTTTTTCCTAGGTGATCTCCACACTCTGAGTCCAGAACACACCACAAAAAGCAAAGCTCACCATCACTGAAGCTACAGTGACACTGCAACTCCACAGATACCCCAGGCCAGAGCAACAAATAGCTTTTCAGTCTACAGTTTATTTATCCTCTAGAAATATACTGGAGGAAGAGGGGAGGAACAGCACAAACCTGATGAACTATTCAATCCGATAATATAAACAGGATTTTGACAGTCTTTGGGTAGGAAGTGAATGCTACAGCACTCCACTTACACTTTGCTATGGATGGACAGGATTCCTGCTCCTGTTAGTGATACAGCTTCCTACAACCTCCACTTTAATAAATATTCAGCAACTACTCAACTTTAATAAAACAAGCATTAGAGGAGAGAAATACCTCACAGAAATAATGCTAGATTTATTTTAACATAGTATACACAAATTCACAAGTTTGGAGGAAAAAAAAAAACCATCACTGGGTATTCAGGCTCTTGGAACACTGAATGCTTCTAGTAATACTACGCAGATTTGACATAGCTGAGCATAAGTTCTTAAAACAGAAAGGGGAAACAATGCTATTTTGGCATAGTAAACCATCATAACAGGAAGGCAAGGAAAATGCAAGAAAGTATTCATTTCTGAATAAAAAGAATGGAGAGAAGAAAGAAGAGATTCTGCAAATGACAAACAGAACAGCATCCACATTATTACAAAAAAACCCCAACACTTCTCTCACACGGGATCTTAAACTACCTTCTTATTCATGATACTGCCATTTATTCAGTCTATGTTCCAGTATTCTAAACAGCTGAGCAGTATCCGAATGCCGTACCGCGTCCCAGCGAGCAGAGCCCAAGCACTACCTCACCTTTTTTGGCTCTCAGTACTCGCCCCAGCCTTTGAGCCTCCTGTCTTCGAGATCCACCGTGGGATGAAATCTGAATCAGAACATTGGCTTCAGGCAGATCAAAGGACGTGTCACCCACCTACAACAGAGAAGCAGCATCTGATTGCCATGTATCAGTAACAACTCTGTACAAAGTGCACCTTTATTAGCTGCAATAATGTCAAATGCCCAACGTGCATGTACAACTTGTTCCTATATAAGGAGCACTCTGAAGACGAGTACAACATACTACATCCTCACCTTTGAAATGAAAATAGTGTTGATTTTTGGATTGTGCTTGAAGTTTTGTAGAATTTGCATTCTTTCTCCTTGTGCAGTGGGACCATATATGTACGGTCTGAAAAAACAAAAAAACCAGACCATATGCAAATTAAATCAATTAAAAATTTCTCATTTATTAACAGGCACCAAGATATCATAGCAGGGAGCTCGTTACACAGTGATTTAAACATATTAATAGCACCAAAGAAAAAAGCAGCACAAGCTACATGACTCTGGATGACAGACTTAGGACAGAGTAAAAACTGGCTTAAGAAATTTGAGTTCTGAGGCCTCCAAAGTTAAAGGCAAAAATAATTTCTGTCACATGCATGTCCTGTTCCCTGCTGGTAGCAAGGGAATGAAACGGGGTAGAAGAGGAGCTGGTGCAGCAGCAGCCACCAGACAGTGCCAATTCCCCTCCACTGGGAGCCCACCTGCCCCACACACTTGAGTCAGGCAGTGGAACCAACCTGCTGAGCCAGCACAGCCAGGCACAGCCTGGGCTACTGCTGCAGCACCCACTGGGCTTCTCCCTCCTACACAGACCCATCATTCATGTCACACCCAAACTAGCAGCCCCTGTTTATGCCTAGAGCCAACTCTGAGCATGCCCATGACAAACTACAATTCGAGAACTTCCTGTTTAAAATGTTCTGTTTCACGTAGCACTGCAACCCCTCTTTCTCTCAGCTATTACAGCTGTATGGAGATCCATCCACATCATATGGGAAGGAGAATTGAGTCAAGAATGTGAAAAACAAGCACCTGATGTTCACACAGTTCTCTTGCCTGCTTGTACTTCGACAGCATCTTCCATACTTATAAACAATGAGGGCTACTTTGCGAGCACCCCTTGTAGGCATGTGCCTTTGTTAAAGGCTCTTGTTCTGCGGTGAGCTGCACACTGCTAGCAACATTCCAGAGGCATCATTACAGCTAATCTCTGTCCAGACAGATTTAAAAAAAAAAAATGATGAAAGAGACCATGGGTGTTGGAATTCATCCAGAACTACTAGCTCTGCTATTTGATGCACAGCAAGCCAAAACAACGTGGCCATTAAACTATAGTGAAAAGTGATCATTAATTTTAGAAAGTGCAAAAACATTTGTTTGCAGTTCTGCTGAGTACTGTCAAAATTCCTAGACATTAAATCACACAGTCAAAATGCCCCGTAGCTTCCAGTCATCAACACATGATTTGAGCTTGACACAGAAAGCATGAGGCCAGCTTCTAATGCTTATTTTCCCCAAGGAATTGCTGTATTGCCTGATCCTTGCAAACACTCTCCCTGGTCATCCCTTCCCAAGCCATTCAAACACATTGAGGTCAACCCCTCAGCAGACTGTACTTGAGATAATTTTATTGACACATAGGATTGCTGATCTTGAAAGACATTCAGAGAGACAGGAGAGAAGCTACAGCCCATGGGCTACAGCCCATTACACAAATAGTTCTGGAAAGATTTTTTAAGGCTCCCCAGTTTTGCCAAGTGGCTTTCAACAGTAATTAAAAAAAATGGAGAAATACAAAGTTATTCATAGAAAACTTGGATGAAGACTCCTCTGAGCCAAGTGCTAAACAGAGACTCTTCTCAAACAGTTCTACAATGGAATGAATTTTCAATGCCCATAAAATCCATCCAAAGAGTGGTTTCCTGAACTCCTCCTACATGAGAATTGTAGTTGAAGTATTACAACAAATGTCTGGAGGTTACTGAGATCTGTACGATTACAAGTTAATTTTCCAAGGAGGAGGAAAGCAACAGCAGCATCATTAGTTGTGAGCACTTACTTCCCAAGTCTGATTGCGTACTCCTTCAGTGCAAACACGTTGTCAGCAAAAACAATGATTTTATCATTCCGCCGCTCATGAAACTTAATCAGGAACTGGCAAGCTCTGAACTTATTTGGGTTCATGGTGTACAGCAGTATCCGTTTCTTTGTTTTGATTGCTACGTATTCTCTATAAAATTCAGGTGACATTGGGCACCAAACCTAGAATTAGAGAATACACACTGAGTAAATGCCAGTTACCTATTTAACTCCAGTAAGAATTTAAACAATATTAGGGGATAATAATGCATTATACCTTCCTATGCAGCAGAGGCCACAAATCCTAACGTGATTTATTTCTGTATTAAAATGAAGTATTGACTGGTCTAGCCTCTAGAACCACTAACTCTTTTTACCTCACTAATATCATCATCTTCTAAAACGCTGGGGCAGCGAGATCCACGACAAACAGGCAGTGGGATTGGAACAGGACACAGAAGTCCTTTGTTTAAAATCTGATAGTTTCACTGAATGCTACTATGTTTTACAGAAGTAGAATTAAAGGAATTAACCATGCAATATTTCTGTCACTGCAGTCAAGGCCTTTGCCCTAAAAATTCATTTTCATCCACATTCTGAAAATGTAGATATACTTAGTTCTCATTACAGAACACATTTACCAATCCTTCCCCTGTATATAATCAGCTTTAAGACATCTCCAGCCTACATCTTTCAAAACAGAATTTATTAGAAGTTTCCAATGGCTTTATCTGCACAGTATCATACATTGTGCTTGAGCTGACATATATATCACAGCACTGCACAGACTCAGTCACTGTGATAATTTTTCTTCACAGTAGAGATTGAAAATGTAAGAAATTATGAACTTTATGCAAATGCAATGACACTACAGCATGTCATGACAGCATGCATAATTTCATCTAAATTACATACGTTTGTTCTGTACGTGGCTTCTTCTAACATATTCATCACACAGTACAAATTTAACAGATAAGATTTAAAAAGGCCTCTCATAATTACTCCTCAGTTAAAAGGATGCTCAGCAAAAAGTCTATTCACACCGGTGACAATCTGTATGAGTTTATATAATAACCCAATTTGCTCTGTGCTCTTAAAAATTATCACAGACAATGGATTAGGCCAGACCTTCAGTCTGTCCCAGAAAGGCTATTTCCAACATTCTAGCACGCCTGTGTGAAATGTTCCCATGTTCCCACTTATGTGACATTAGATTTTCATCTCATCCATTTGCTGGAAAGCAGAGCTCACACATGATTACATTGGAATCAAACATTGTAATCACACATGATTACATTGGAAAGAAATAGCAAGATTTAGTGCCATGTTTTCTGCTTTCATCCTGAGGCCTTAAGGCTTAAAATAAGCAGGCATCATCTTCATTTTTAAGCTTCCTGCTATCCTTCTTTGTTTTAATAGTTACAAGAATTTTTTTTCAAGAAAGACTACAGAATACCAGCTGAAGTCTCTCAGAAGCAGCTTCAAGTATACCGTTTGACCAATGCTGTCACACAGAACTGAGCTTAAAACACAAAATCAAATCAATGCAAATGCCAGCTGCATCAGAGTAAGTCTACAACACTGCAGCTGCTGGTTGTTTTTTTCCCTGCAAACGCTAAATTAGAGAGAACTCATCAAGCACCACAACCCCCCAAAAAGAGAAACAATGCTGAAGACAGCTACAGGATTGCAGCACGTTCATATTGCCTACTGACAGCCCCTCATGAGCTACTAAGTGAAAAGCCAACAGGGTACCTCCTGCTCACAGTTCAATACTTACAGTTCTTCCTTCAAAAAAAAAAAAAAAAGCTAGAAGAGCTATAAGCATGCTAAACATACACCAATAGTACTGAAAAGCAGAACATCACCTCAGCACACTGGACTTTAGCAATGTAGCCACTGTTCTGCAGCTCCATCCAGTTGGCCTCATAAAGCTTTGGTCCAATCAGGAAGTTAAGATCAACAATTTTATCATCTTCTCTGACCAGGGTAGCAGTCAGTCCCAGTTTACAATGAGCTTGTACGATAGTGAGCACACGTCTGAACATTTTTGCTAAGAAACACAAGACACACTTTCTGTTTACTTTCCCGAATGGATTTAGAATACAAGTACTGCAATGTCACATATTAAGAAAATAAATAAATCACAAACTCCCAAACACAAAGCAAGCATGGTCTTAGGAATTGTCATCCCATTTTACATACACTTCTAACAGTATTCTGTGGCCCAGCAAAACTTCACATTGATTTCAGCCTTTGTTTGCACCTCAGTGTACTCTAAAAAACTCTTCCAACCTTTTACATTTGTATTACTTCCTGCACCCCAAAAGTAATAGAGATGAGGTTATGTGACTTATCTTAGCCATGTAGCATTTCATAAAAAGACAGATACGAAAGACACGAGTACTCTTGGCTGACTTGGTTACGTTCAGGACCAACATAAGGCAGAATTATTTATCTTTAGTACAGTTTCAAATCCTGTGATTGCAGTCTGCAGGCATATAAGAAATTATACCTTAATTTTTATGACACGAAGAAATGTGAAAGAAGCGTGCCAGCAACGTGCAGCTTTGTTAATCAAAGCCCATCCCAGAAATCTATCATTTCAGTACAGACCAAATCACACTCAAATTTAAACAACAGCAATATAGAACAGCGGACAGAATCCGGGTGGTACACTTCACCAGGATAACTCCACAGATGCTTTAATACCACATTACTGCTTTCCAATAGTCTTCAACTACAACAGCTATTTCTGCACAGTTACTATTGCAGTTACTCAAATTTTATGGACTAGAAATAGACAGTACCACCCAAGCCCACAGTGCAATTGCATCTCAAAACCAAAGATGGCAGATTAACTCCGTCCTGTTCCCAAAGAGAGCGCTACCATCTGCAAACAAATCTGTCCACAGCAAAATTACACACATTTAATTTGCGTGCCCTCTCAAGCACTTTATCAACCTGCACAAAAGAAGAAGGCCACTCATGTTTTCTACTGCCACTGTAGAGAACAACAGAACTTCAGAAAGGTTTCAAAAAAACAAACAAGAAAAATCAAAGGTCAGTTAAACTCCACAACGCTGGGCAGGGGAGTGGGGAAAGATGGCAGTTTGTCTGAGACTTGTTTGTCTCAAAACCCTATGCCTTGAGTTTACCAATTGGATTAAACATGAGCAAGCCAACAGCCTGTATAATCAATGAATATAAAGATGTTATAACTACAAAATAAACAAGAGAGTTTGGCTAAGCAGGTTATAATAACAAAAAGAGAATAGATAGAATGCTTATCTGCATCCCGGGCCTTCTTGCAAAACTCCAGAGGGATCTCCAGCAGAGATCCTTCCCCACTGGCAGTCAGCTCTTAAATGGCTCTAGGAGAGGTGCAGCCAGGCTCCACCCTTTCCGGCAGCACAGCTGAATTGCCTTCACCTGTGCTCCCAGGGCTGACTCAGTGCTCCCCTCAGGTGATCAACCAGAGGTTCAGGCCGTGGTTCAGCAGTTCCCATACACAACCCCACAAGCTTTTACAGAGAGAGGCAACGTTACCAGTACATACAGCATAAGAGCCTGCACACCGTTTCCTTACCAGGGATAGTATGTACTTCATCGAGTATCATAAGGCCCCATTCTCGACTTTTAAGCCACTCCATCACTCTTTCTGCTTCCCAGGATCTCTTGGTCGTGTGTCCCAACATGGAATACGTGCTGATAGCAATAGAGCAATCAATGGGCTTATCTTTGGCATCAGAGGTGAAGCGACAGATCTGACTGTCGTCGATGGTGGACCACATCTTGAACTGCGCTTTCCACTGCTCCACAGACACTGCAGAATTACCCAGGACCAGGCACCTCTTGCGCACGGTACACGCAGCTGTCACTCCAACTAGAGACTTGCCAGCACCTGTGGAAGGAGTGATATTCACTATTTATCTCATTGGAATAGATGGAAAAAGAGCGAAGGACAATAGGTGATGTGCGAGAGGACATGAAATCACATAAGTGCAGTCTTCACTGCTTCTTTACTAGAGTATTCTTAAGGAAATTGATTGTCTACTTGTATAAAAACAGATGGATTGCCTACTACAAGCTGCTTTCTTAAGAAAATCACTGCCAACATTTATTTTGCCAGTGAGAAGCAATCATACTGTTTTCTTCATTTCAAATACAGGATAAATTCCAGGTGGCTACAGAAAGCTTCTACTAGAGGCCATCTCCCCCATACTTGCCCTGCAAGCTATGTACACTACACCACATAGCAAGTCCTTATGTGTTTCCATTCCTCTTTCACATCTCCTCCAACATCCCTTATGCGCTCTTTCAGGCCCTCCTGCTACCTCCTGCACTGCCATAAGCAGTCTCCCATTCTCTCCCTCTTTAATTGCTTTCTGGGAGTTGTCTCAACCTTCTTGCTTGCACCCCGAGCTCCTCCACCTACCCAGACCAGTCCCTGTTACAGTCTGAAGTCTAAGCAGCTGACAGATCTGAAAGTTACTTTATTGCAAGCAAATAAAGAACAAAATCCCTAAAGAAAACCCTTAAAAAAAATAAAAAATCAACGCAGTAATTTACCACACGGCAAGACAATAACACCAGATCTGGCTCGCCCATTTCCAAACATCTTCCTCAGGCTTTTCTCTTGATAGGGTCTGAGGACAGCTGTAGGTTTCAGATCTATATTAATATCAGGATTCACAGAATCATTTCTGAAATCATATTCTGCCAGCAATGGGTAGTCCAGCTGGATACAACGCTTCTGGAGTTCTTCAATCATCTCCTGAGGAGGAGTCAAAGCTTCAGGTGCTAAATTCTCCACATCTCAATTATTATTACATAATTTAACAATTACTGATTACGCAGTAATAGGTCAAAGTCACATTTAACATTTATGCTCACCAAGTCTGCAAGAGCTGAAGTTCATTTCAATAACTTTGTTATTGAAAAACCCCCCTGCTCCAACATTTGAAATAACAGTCTGTACTAGGGAGAGCTATTTTGACACATGGAAGTGTAAGACACAGTAATCTGAAACGCATTCTTTATCTGGCAGTGACTGAACTACACTCTGAAGCCCCGCAACAAAAAGCTCAATAGCAGACACAAAAGGTCTTGTGTACTACATGGAAAGACCTACTGAATCTGCACGCCTGTTATAGGAAAAAGCTTCATACCCTGACAACACAGTTATTCCATCACCATGACAGGTTGATTCAATCACCAAAAACTGTTTCCAGTTCTCAATTACTTCTCTGGTTATTAAAAAGTTCTCTTTTTATTACTTCTGTTTTCCCCAGAAAAGCCTTGCTAGAATCACCAAGTCCAGGCAGCAACAAGACAAGCTTTACAAAAGCTCTCTGAAGGCCAAGTCAGGACTGCACTCTAACCTCCGGCTTCTCAAGCTAGGAAAACAGAGCCACCAAGAGTTTCTTCTGTAAATATCAACTGTGAGGAAAAAAAGTTCTGAAACTAACAGATTTACTCTCCACTGAATTCTCATGAGTCCTGCACAAAGCAGAATCAAGGTGAGCACAAACAGATCCCCCTTTAGCTTCTGAAACCTCTCTAGCTTGTGAGCCACTACACTCTGTGGGCAGAGAAGGAACATTCTGCAGTCTGCTCGCTGTGTACTGGGAAGGAATATCCCAAGATTTTGGAAGGCAAAAGGAAAGAAACATCACTGACTTCCAGTGACCTACATTAAACAAGGAACCTATACTAGACTTTAAGTTATCTCTTCATGCTTATTTGAGTCCGGGGCACATCCCCTAAAGCTGCAAATGCTAAGAGAGTAAAGCGTTCATGCCTGCTTGACTTCAAAAGATACTGTCTGTGTTTCTTCCTCCTCCTCCTCATCTTTGTCCATCTGCTCATAAAACTCATATAAGTCAGCTGGGACATCCGGCTTGTTTTGAACATCTGCTTCTTGTGATGTCGATGGACCAAAGCTGCTCTCACTGGACTTGGAAATCTGAAAAAGACAAAAGGAACTTCCACCAAAAGGTTCACTAGAGATGCTCCCCCCCAGCACTCATTGGAATGGGGTTAATTAACAAGGCAGAGCATGGCTGACAAAACTGAAAACTGCTGACATGACTGACGTACAGTAACGACTCCAAGCTGCACAACAGCTTACCTGATGTTAATTCCATCATTTTAAAGCATGCCATACATACCGCTGATTTACTTGTGAATGTCTCTGTAATGAGCTCTGTTTCTTCACCTTCAGCATTTCTCAGGCGACAGTCTTTAATAACGTGGTCTTGCAGGAGTTGCTGAATGACATCAGGATGGGTGCTTTCCACAAAATACCTACAAGAACAAAAAACCCACATCTCTATGAACTAATTAAGACAAGAATTTACAGTAAAAAGCAGTGAGTGCTCAGATGTATAACAGGCCCAGATACACTCGCATGTATCCCACTTTGGGGGCGGTAATTTAAAAATAAACAAATTAGAACCATCAAAAATTTTAAGAGGTGCCTCACTTCAAAAGCATTGCAGATTTTCACATTATCAATCTTCCCTCCTCCAGTTTAAAACCTTTCCCCCTTGTCCAACCACCATCTACCCATGTAAAAAGTTGATTTCTCTTTCGTTTATGATCTCCCTTTAAATACTGGAAGGTTGTGATGAGCTCTGCCTGCAGCCTTCTCTTCTCCTGACTAAAAAAGCCCAGCTCCTTCAGGCTGTCTTCAGAGGAGAGGTGCTCCAGCACGGTGGACATCTTTGTGGCCCTCCTCTGGACCCTCTTCAAAAGCCTGACATCATCCCTGGGTTGGAGGCCCTAGACCTGGACGTTTTACTTCAGATGGGGCCTCACAAGGACAATCACCCCCCCACCCTGCTGGTCACCCCTGTTCCGTGCACCCCTTTCTCTTGCAGCCCTGGATATCACCGGCCTTCCATGCAGCAAACACACACTGCTGGCTCATGCTAGGTTTTCCATCTGCCAGGACCCCTACATTCTCCTCAGCAGGGCTGCTCTCAAGCAGATTTTGGAAGATCACTTCTTTAACACCATCTATGGCAAACACAGCCTACCTGTTGCGTTTCAGCACCAGCTTCACCTTCCCATAGCTGACGGTACACAGCTGCAAACAGACAACAGCAGTCATTAGGAAAAGCCAAAAGAGTGATTCTAGGTTTGGGTGCAATTCAGTTTCTTGTAAGAACACGCCGCATCTTCGTTTATTTGCAGTGCTGTTTTGCTTATGGAACAACCTCGAAGAAAAACTTTCAGAATGCACCAATTTTTATGGAGCTATATGCAACAGAAAAAGGGAAAAAGTAAGATGAAGTCTCTGCTCTCTTGCAACAGTATGATAGAATAGAGTAAGACGGTAAAAACACTGAGTAAAAAAAAGATGTATATAAAAATATAGCAGTAATGCAGATACAGCAGATAAGGACATCAGAGGGCTTTGCAATACAACAACACAGACCTACCTTGATGAACTGAATGATTCCCTCTGGCACACCGGTCTTGCTCAGTTTCTGCAGGTACTCTGTGATATCACTGGTCTGCAGGCCGACGCTGACAGCGGCATACAGGGAGTAAGCAGTCAGTTTGTACTCGTGGATGTGGGTCGGTCTGCACACAGGTTCAGCAATGGCAACCAAAAAATCCTGTGCATATTTGTAAACAGGAGAAAACGCTTCCAGGAAAATATGGCCATCAGGAGCCTACAGAAACACAAGGAAACACAGAAGGTGTGCCAGTGTTAGCTGAAGAAAATCAGGATTTTCCTACAACGCAGCCATTGCGATATGGACTCCTCTATTTAGGTGGTAATTTACTGCTGGGTTTCATCCAGCGCTTAAACTTAAGGCATCTGCCTTAACAATGAGATAACAAAGAAAAGAGAAACGGTAATCTTATTGAAAAAGGGCCGACCGAACAAGAAAGCCCAAACAGGCAGCGAGACTTGGGGTGTGCATCCAGTACGCGGCACTGGCCTGCTCATACCGATGGAGCACATCGATGACGGCAGATGGCACAAGCAGACCAGAGGTGCCGGCACAGCCACAGGAAGACACAAGTCATCTTCTAAACGGGACCAGACGCGGGTTCGTCTGCGTTCCTTCTATGGCAACAAAGCTCAACGCGTCCGGGCTGACACAGCCCGGGTCAGCACCCCGTGTTACGGCCAGCCGCCTCGCGTAACTGCGCCCGTTCTGCCGGCCTCACTTCGCACACGCCAACAAAGGCACGGGCGCCCTTTTCGTCCTACGCAAATCACGGTGAAGCCCAGCCCGCCCCACGGCCGTTCCCCCGCACACGGCCGTCCCGCCGCGCCGCACGTACCACCCAGAGCGGCCGCGAGGCGTTGTCGGCCTTCAGCGGCATCTGCAGCCGGTAGTCCTTGGCGCCGTACTCGTCCAGCTTGGCGCCGCTGTCCTCCACCTGCTTCCCCGCCGCCGAGGGCACGGCCTCCTGCGAGTCCTTCCCGGGAGCGTCATCCTCCTCCTCGTCCTCGTCCTCGTAGTGCCGCTTCTTGGACTTCTTCTTGTCTGCGGCACACCGCGGCGTTAGAGCCGCGCACCGCCCGCCAACCCCCGCCCCGCGGCGGGCCCGGCCCCGGCCCCCCTTCCCTTCCCTTCCCCGCCCTGCCCCGCTCACCCCGCTCCTTCCTGCCCATGGCCGCCGCGCCGCTCCCGGCTGAACGGCGGCGACCGGAGGACGTTGCGTCACTTCCGCCGCGCGGCGCGACGGCGCGACGGGAAGGAGCGGCCAGGGGCGGGGCGGAGGGCGGCGTGGGTACAAAAGACAGAAGTGCCGACACCGTTGTCCCTACAGCGTGTTTTAATATATTTCTAAGTACAATTCGTGTCTGATTTCGGAAATACAAATACATTTTGAATGGTTAAAAACAAAAAATTAAAAAAATATTTTGAACATCAGCCAGCTGAAAATATATTTATCTAGTAAATTATCTCTCAAAGCTTTTATATATTTAATTATTCTAACTAAACATAGTACCCTTAAAAAACAAGTTCATAAAAATGTAGAAATGAAACTGTGGAATAAGATCACGGGGATATATACACACACATTCAATGCATACACAATTACAGGGCTCGGGGCTTCCGTTCAAATTCAGCGGCCGTGGCACAAGGAAACGCGGCGGCAGCGCTGCGAGGCGCCCAGCCGGGGAACTGCACGGCCCTCCTTTAAGATCCCGCTTTCACACACAAGGCTCCACGGAAAGCTGCACCAGCAATGCCGTTACTGACAGCGACGTGTCCGGAGTCAAAGCAAACCCCCCCACCCAGCAGTAGTACATTGCACACACACGTGGATCGCACGCACCCATCCACAATTGGTCAGAGTAGTAAATCAGTGTACAAATTAAATAGTTCCAAAAATGTGCAAAAAAGTCAACGTTGATAGAAAAAAACACCTTTGTGTACATACATTACAAACTGTGCCCAGCATTCAACTGAGAGTAAAAACATTTACAGTGAGAAACTGATAGATTAAATAGAGAATTTAATGGCTACGTAAAAATGTACAAGAGAAATTTACAAAGTTTTATTCATAGCTTCATGAAAACAAAGTCTACGTTCCGACTGATCTACGTCTCCTCCATGTATTTACAGTGATTCTCCATCGTATGACTGCGGGAGGGCTGAGATGACAGAGGCGAGGCTGTAATGGACCGTGGGACTGGAGGGCTGATACCAACTGTAAGCTGGTAGCATGAGAAACCAACACTGGGAACTGACAGCCTACCGCCTGCTCAGCAGCCAAAACATAACCCTCATTTTTAAACCCACGTGGGATAACCTTTCAGGAAAAGGATGGGCTGTGATTGGAGTAAGAGAAACCTCTGAAGTGTTTCCTGGAGTACCCACTTTGGAGTGAAGTGTCCTCGTATCTTCCGACAGGGGCCCTGACCTCCACTCCTCATCACTGGACTCAGAGCAAGGACTGAACCATGAGATACAATTTTCTTGTATATTAATCCAGTTCCTCTCCCTTTAAGGTAAGTTCACAAAAACCTAAGGTCTAGCCAAAGCCAGACCGCTAGCACTGCTCCTTTGGAACATGAGAAATGTGACCTCCTCCATTCTGCCTGCCTCCAGAGTACACAATGTACCTATGACAGACCAAACCCACGCACTGCCACCCCCGGGCAGCAGGGCCCTGCACAGCCCTGCCCTGGAGCTGCAGCCCTGCACAGCACGGCTCCTCACTGCAGCTGCAGGACGAGGCACGGGCCGGGCGCACAAGCTGCAGGTTGGCTCAAAGCCTCCTTGGGAGCTTTCAGTGGCCACCACGCAGCAGTGTTAAGTCAATTAGGAAGGCCAAGTGGAGAAAATAAAAAGAGAAAGGAGTTGCTTTGTTCCTGATCGAGAGTATTGATTTAGAAGCCAGCTTGGTGGCAGTTCTGCCCCCGCACCCATATGGCTGTGGGTGACATCTGGATCTCATGTAAGGCTGCTTCCCAGCAGCTCAGAGATGCTGTGGCACACAGCAGTGCAGGTCACAGCCCCTTCTTTATGATGTTCCAAAGCTCAGGCCTGGCTGCATAGGCACCAGGATTAGTCACCCCTCTCACCCATTTCTTTCAGAATAACAACAATATGATTAATTTAAAAAGAGTTTAAAAAGAAAAAAGGAAAAAAAACCCACCACACTAAACCCTTGATTTTAACGGTGCGTGAATTTTGCACACCAAAGCAGCATCTAACACCAATCTTTTAAATATGGAAGTGTCTGTCACTGTGTACCAGTACCTGGTGGATATATGCGTGCCCACAAGCAGCAGTACTAACCCATGGACTGTCACTTGTGACTCTGTCTATGGGAATAGAAAAGCTTTGGTAATCCTATATGGTTGTACACTACAGACTTGTCATTGACACAAGAGAGTAAGTTACCAGCAGGAGGAAATAGCCCTGGCAGTAATACTTTGCTTTTCCAGAAACACCGTTATGGACTCACACTACAGCACACAAGTTATGCTTTTCTATACGCAGGACAGATTTTAAAGATTTAAAACTAATAACTAACTGTATCTCTGACCAATTTGCTCAAGTCTCTGAAGCTGCAGTCACACACTGCTCTGTGCTGTCTGCTACTGTCTGCCTGCTACACCTGCTGCATGCACCCATGGGCGCTGCAAGGCGGCTTTCAGTCAGGACAACGGCAGGATTGGCATCAACCAAAAAGAAACGGGCAGTAATTTAGTAGGAAAACATCAGCCTCGCTGAGAGATCTGTTGATTTGCTTAGGCAGATAATGCTCCTGTGCACCAAAAGTAGACAGCCATTAATACAGCGCCACATTTACAGATGTACCAACTATAGTTTCACACCCACTATGAAGTCCAGAGGAAAACCAGAGTCTGGTACCCAGAGCTGGAAGGCCGAATCCCAGCTGTGACAGCACTGCTGTAAGCTAGAGAAAAGTCATTTTCTGGTCTGCATAGCAGTCTACAGTCTCCAACGTGCCCATCTGAAACCTGTGCTCGAGTTGGAAGCACTCCAAAAAAAGCTTTTAAAAGTTCTCAGTTTAAAAGTCTGATGCAGTGATAACTAAAGCATGCTTTCCAACACAGTCAAGGGAAACCTGCTTGAGGCACTTTAGGGTATTCTCTAACACCGATTAGGTGACACGGAATTGTATGACAGCCATAGCATATCTATGTGATATTACAATATGGATACAATTAAGGCATACAGCTGAATCGTAGAATCATAGAATCATTTGAGTTGGAAGGGACCTGTAAGGATCAAAGCCCAACTTCAACAGGGAAAAGCTAAGAAAAGTAGTAACTTTCCATTCTGTTACACTGAAAAGGCTGTTAAGCTACAATGAGAACTGCAAATCAAGCTAATAAAGACTAAGCTGTCAACAAAAGAAGTCGATGTACATTTACCTATTCACTTAAGATATGGATCTAGTAAGCCCTGGCACAGATATTTCCATCACCCAAATTAAAAATAAAACAATTTGCTCTGATATGACTGAAGCTTTCAGTCCCGCTCTACCAGCACAGTTAGTTTGACAGGACTGACAGTTATACCAGTAAAGCAATATTAGAGAAACATCTGAACTTTTGTTCCTTAATATGTGAGACACGATACCAAAACTCCTCAGCAGGTCAGTCAGTCCCCTGCACTCACTGTGAACCTGGATTCTTACTTTTGGGGAGCACAGCTTCACAACAGCGTTTACAGAAAAGCAAAACGTAACCCTGCAGCAGTGTCACTTTCACTGGCGTTATCTGGTTATTGGACTTCACAACTAAGAACAACTGAGGACTCTAAAATGCTGCTATCTTCACTAGTAAGACACCAGAAGTGGTGAGAAGGGATTTTGTTTCTGCAAACCTCTGCCAACGGAGCTGTAAGCACGCCGTTCCACGGGTCCTCTGAAATGTCAGAATTAAGTTTTGTTCATTATCATGCCAGTAGTCAGTGAAGTGTTTTGCAGACACCACATTCAGATGTATAACATTTTTTAATGCAAACTGGCTTCCTACATCACCCCAGCGCAACAGTGTTGAAGTACAACATGCAAGGGTCTGAGTATTAGCAAACCTCTTGGTCAAAGTCTGGTTTAGCTCCTAGCTCAAAGTATGTATGGTAATCATCACCTCAATTTCCTGCAAGTTTCTTAGGTCAGTAGGGTAAATAAAACAGTTCAGGCCTAATTCTGGCTAAGTTAGTAACATTGTGCTAAAACTGCTGGAACTGCCACAAGCCATCTTCATTTTAAAAGTGCTGTCTCCACATCAGCAGTTTTTGGATATTTCAAGAGAAATGCATTCTGCAAATCGTTTTTTTTTTTTCTTTCTTTCCTTTTCTCCAGGTTCCAAAACGCTTACCACTGTCATGACTGAATGCCACTTTTAGACAAGGCACAAAAGCAGTGACTTTGATTGTTCAGTATTAAGATCACGAGAAAGTGATATTGCAATACACATGAGCCAGCACTGTCTCACAAAAAGGACTCTATTAGAAAAGAGGATTCTGAAAATTTTCAAGCTTCAGAGAGTGCAGTTTCCTTTCAGAAGAGCATCTTGAAATGTTCAGAATGTTACAGGTAAACCTGGTTGTTTCCCTTTAAAGTCCTTTGTCGGTAATACAAAGTTTCCTTGCCTTTGCAGATATCACTGTCCACAACTGATTTCTCTCCATGTACTTTCAACTTGGTCTTGGTACCCTCCTGATCAGCTTGAAAGCAATCATTTCAATTATCTGATCTTTAAATTAGCTACATAAACTAGGCCCTGTGTTAAACCTCCCTCCATTGCTTTCATTAAACGTTGTTTATAAAGCAAAGGTCCTTTACAGCAGAGCATGCACAAATTCTTCCCACAATCTGCTTTCGTAGCTTTTATCCAGTCAGTCAGCAGAAGCAGACTTTCCTTTGAGCTTTCTAAATCTTCCCTGGTCAGGATTGTCCTTTCCACACTCGGAAAACCTTGCATGGTTGTGTCCCCTGACGGACAAAGGTTGAAGTCAGGGATAGCTCTAATAAATGGAACAGGGCACCACTCAGCCACGGAGGAGACGGCCAAGAACTCATTCTTCCTCCTCTACAGGCAAAGCAGCTAGGATAGATTCACATTCCTACTTAAGCTCACATACCAAATTTGGAAGTTAGCAGAACAATTGCAGAACTCCCATGAGTTTATTAGAGTGAGAATGGGTAAATTTACTACTCTGCCTCCATGCACTTCATAATTCTTCTATTCCCCTAAAGATGTCAAACAGAGCAGAGCCT